CTGAGGCACGCCAATAAGCTGTACAAGGAGAAGATTGCACAGGAGAGGCGTGAGCAGAAGTTGAGGGAGAAGGAAGAGCGTGAGCAGCGGAAGGCTGAGAAGGCTCAGGAGGTTGCCGAACGCAAGGCCGAAAAAGAGCGTCAACAGAGGGAGCGCAACACCAAAAAACCTATACAATTGTCCCAAAGAGGCAAGCGCAAGGCCTCAGAGGTTGCAGCACCCAGGAAGAAGCAGAATCGTGGTAGTGCAGCTGCCCGTAGTCGTGCTGCTGCCGCGCCTCGCTCCCCATCCCCTCTGGCAAAATACAACAGCCGCGGCCGCCCAATCAGAGTGCCACAAAAGTTTGAGTGAGGAACTTGTTCATATAGGTCTATAGACTACTCCACCAGAAAATCTCATGATAATAACCATTGTGTGTGGCTCTACAGCCTCATTTTTGGTGGACCTATTTTGGTGGTTCGGCGCATTACGCGAATCCGCGCATTACGCGCACGGACACGGTAACGCAACTGGCTAGATACGTCGCCCCATCAAGTTTTTCGGATGAACAGCGTGGACGTTGGATGTTACGACCTACAGTAATCGTTTTTCCTTACAATGTCGTCTACCAGATTGAAAGCAATCTTGGATTCTCACACTATGCTCATTTAAGCGTTGAGGGTTGCCTGATTTGCACGCGCGACTGCTCCTCGTCCCATGCGTGTTGCGCACATCCAGCTTCTTGTATTCGCACCACGCTTTCTACGAGTATGACTTACTAGTGTATAGCTTTCTCACGAGCTGCACTTTAAGATGGATACACTTCTGCAGGAGTTGATCGACCGCATAGTCAGCCACCTGGACCATGATGACCTCAAAAGCATGCTTGTGTTGTCTCGGAAGTTTCAATACGCATGTGAAGAAGGTCCGGAGGCATTCGCACAGTACAACCTAACCATCGATAACGCACCCAAATTCAAATCGACATACAGCGGCCGCCGTTCTCGTTACCTTCGAGAACTAGTATTCGAGACGAGCGTGTTTCCTCGCGACGAGAATGCGGCAGAGGATTGCCGCGACACTTCCGATGAGTTATCAGCAATGAATAAAGGATTTAGGCGTCAGATCAAGTTCTTTTTCGACAGGCTGAAGAGCGTCTAGAGGGCTCTGGCTGGCAGAAACCACCTTGGGCCGATACACCTCACGATATTCGAGCCCACAAGAGCGAACCATGGAGATGACACATGCCACCATCACATGTTCGTCGGTTGAAACCTGATCTGGAATCTGTAAGCTCCCTTACAATCAAGACCCCAAAGCTTGACTTATACGCTCAAGGACCCGAAGTAGCGCTGCGCAGACTTGATCTTCGCATCATCCTCGATATTACAACCAGATGTCCAAACCTCGAAATTTCAACATGCAAAGTCGGGGGTAGTGACTGGCAAGCACTATTCGACCATGGGAGGCTCCAGCCTATTGCACGGAAACACGAGGGACCGCGACGTGACTCGCGGCACGACTTGGGCAGAGCCCTAGAGGGCCTGACGGATATGCTTCCATTACTACGACACGCACTCTAGACTTTCTTTATCCTCTCCTTGAAGTTGACCAGATTAATCAACGCGCCACGTCGACTGACTCGCTCTTCTCCACTTCCGAGTCTAGCAGAGTGACTCAGTCGGACACTCGAGACCCAAGCAACGCTTGGATGTGACCTGAGAATGCCACTTTTTGCAAGAGAGTCTTTTGGATCGCTAAGATATCAGCCTTCGTCGCAGCAACCTGGTCGTTGAGTTCCCGGCTGCGAGAAACCACAACGTTATACTCGGCAGTGCGGGCATCAATGTCTGTTGGAGTTCAGTGAACTGTACGCAAAGGAAGAAGTTGAGGATTGTACTGAGATTGTATTGAGTGAAGCTACGAACAGTATATATAGGTGAGTAGCTGTAAACAACGCTAGTATGACGTGGCAGTCACTCATGGCAGGTGAGGTACAACAGGCAGGAGCACCCTGAACCGTGACAGGGAGAGACCCCAAACCGTGACAGATGATCTCGTCATAGCGGCCTTCGCGGGTGTAGAAGCGGGAGCTACTGCCACCGATGGCTTTGTTGACGACGGGGATGGAGAGGGAGTAGGGGGAAGAAGACGTCGTGCTCATTGACGAGCGCTCACGTGACCTTGCTCGTTGGCGAGCTTGTCATGTGAGCCTGCCTGAACCCATTAGGCGCCGGCCGGGCGGCCTTGTCATGCTGTGCCTTCCCCCAGGTCCCCATGTTTGGTTGGTGGTTACTTATTGCTTCTGCCGTCCTATCGCGGGACGTAGGATCGTAACAGTAGGATCGTAACAAGAACCTCCTGTCACAAAACCCCAAGAACCTGTTTGCGGGCATTCTGCTGCCCTGATTCGCCAGCTTATCAATCAGCTCCTGTTTGGCACAAAGGTAGATATTTGCTCTTCCCATAGCACCAATACAAAAAGATCACCACGCTACTCATCAGAACCTCTTGTCATAGGACCCAAAGAGCCTTTAGCAATTTTCCTTGCCTTGGCAAGCTTGGACACCCTATGTGCCTGAGATATCAATGCATAGCCTCGGTTTAGGCATAACCTGTGACATACTCCTACACTGACACCTTGCTTGTACTTAAAAAGTTGACCAAGAAGCGCTCCCAAGTTGTCACCACACATGTATATTCACTGCGGCACACACGCCACCTATCACAGGTCAATGAGAGCACCCAGAAAAAGCAGGGATGACATCATTGCTCTATATTGTATGAGAGAGGGGAGGGGCCCATAACATATGCAAAACACCGACATTTCTACGTCCGGTCCTTCGGCGTCACCACGTGTCACGTAAAGTCACAATGTCTCCAGATATATCAGCCTATTACCCCGCAATCTTATCTGTGAAGCCGAGATCTTCTCTACCCCGGAAGAAGAACATTGGCTGCGACAGTACCTCAATGACGATATAGCGATGAAGAGGGCCAACGTAAAAAGGCGACTCCGCCTCCCCGGTGTCAACGTCTAGATTCCTCTCCAGAGCGCGCGTGGGTGCGTCGTTGACATAAGTACGCCCATTAACCGTTACACTCGTATTGGGAGATAGCTCGGTAAAGAACTTGATGTTTGATGCGGAGTCGTTGTCATTCTCGGCGGCAGGAGCTGTTCTCTTGATGGTGTTCACTTGTGCGGCATCATCGGTTCCGTCTTCGCGATATATAGTTCTGAAAGTTGATCAGTTGGTTGAGCCAAACCTTGCAGGTCACTGTACACTTACACTTGTACATGATAGTCTTGATCCAACGAAAATGTAGGTTGAGCAGTCGATCTAGACGCAACCACAGCTGCGTCGGGCCCACCGGCGTGAAATTTCTCAAGAAAATTTTGCATGGTGTAAAGTCCTAATGTAACGGAACTCTTTGAATTCCTTGCTTCAAGCGTGTCTCTTTTGGTTGAGTTGAATAAGCGCAGTAGGACTGGACTATGAGGGTCGGCCTTCTTTAGATATTTTCCTCTTCACCTGAAGATTGGATTTCTTATCCGAGACACCATGAAAGGCTGCTGTTCCATCCTGAGTCGGTTCCATGGTTGATTGTAGATCACGGGGGCATACCGCGTCGCAGCCGCTTCGTTACGTGTCTGATCGTCCCTGCTGATGGTTGGCAAAGCCCATCGGATTCCGTTTTCCTCTGATGTGTCGCCGGAGACTTGCGGCGTCGCCTTCGGAGAGTGGGACTTCGATGTTGTAGATTAGTGACTCGCATCCGAAGCTGTTGCATTGAGTTGCTGGGGCATTGTGGAGATTGAAAATGTTCGCTGTCGAGAATTTAGTGTACCTTAGGAACGGTTTTAAACGCAAACCTTATGCGGAAGGGTCACTTAGCGTAGACACCGATGTTCAGCATACCGTAGCAGGGCCTCTCTTTTATTCGCGACGAACAACGAAGTACTTGATGTTGTTAATACGATTGTGCGCACAAGATTGAACAAACAAAGCGAGGTAGCATGAGTGGGTGACTTCTATGTTGTGCACATGGTGGTGCGATATCTACTAAGTTCCAACTATGACGTTCTTTGGGTCATCGCTCTCTGCGTAAGTCAGGATTCTGTACTTCGGGCGTGGCTGAGGGCAGAACAACGGCCACCCTTCTTCAACGCTTTGGCGCGAATGTTGTTACACAAGGTCTTTGTTTAAGCTCAAAGATAGGAACAAGCACCACCTAGCCCGCATCAAATACCGCATGCGCCTTCTCATATGTCCTACCGCCGCTCAATCGCCTTGAGACTGCTCGTGGGAGGCTGCTGTGGCTTTGTAGGCGTGCTTTATGCGTCGTATCATGCATTGCATGCTGCGCAATACATAACAGAAATAAAGTTCGACTCCATGACGCGGTGTTCATATCCTCGAGTACTGCTGTGGACATGTAGTCGTAATGGGATAGGGTACGTGATTGTTGTTGTAGTAAGGCTGAGCGAATGGAGCGCAGCCCTGGTCAACGTGGTACATCGGACTCGCATCTGAACGCATGGTTTTGATAATGTTGGCAGCATCGACACAAGATGAAGTGCTGTAGTAAGCGACAGGATCCGAGGTGTAAGTGTAGGCTTGAGGATACGACCATGGCTGATTCTGGGATGGGTCGTATGAGTTGTCGTACTGAACGTCCTCTGCTTTGATCTCAGGAGCTTGAGGTATTATCGGCGCGGTATAGAGTGGTGTGTGATATGTGGCTGGGGGTGGTGTTCCCATGCTTGAAACTATCGACGTGGGACTCAAAGACTCGCAGCTGCTCAAAGGGGCAGGTCGTGACGAAGGAATGCGGAGTGACGGTACAGAAGGTAAGTGTCGAGGTACCGAAGCAGCTCTAGGTTGTTGGGGTAGTAGTGACCTTGTAGACGATACCATGCTACTGGTGATGCGTCTTTCAAGCACGTTGTTGAGGGCCGGTGCTGACGAGACCTGTTCGAACGACCTGTCGGCTGGACCACCAAGTGCTGTCACGATATCTGCATCAGACACACCACGTCCGAGAAGCAGTGCACGCAGCTTTTTATTCTCGTCAAGCACTTTCCTCGCTGCGCTCTGAATCTCCGCCGATGCTTCGATGCCGACCTGGTCGCAACTCCGCAATTTGGCCTCCAGCTCCTGAAGGTACTCTTTGCGGCGAGCGCGAGAGCGTCCTGTAAACGGCCTGTTAGCGGACTGCTCTCAAAGAGTCGATCGGTGAGTTTCTTGTGTGAGTTTGTCGATAATGGATGTCGTCCACAGAGGTAAGCTGACCCGGAAGAACAGCGAAACACGGCCATTCTTTATCAACAAGGAAGCGATGCGTCAAGCATCCGAAGACTCTTTGGTTCAACTTACGTTGATTGTCTCGTATTCGAGCAAGATTCTGTGCCTTGTGCTTCAAGGTGTTAGCAAGACACTCCAGCACAGGCTGCACAGGCTCAATCATACCGAAGCTTTTAGACGATCGCTCATATTGAATCCTGATAATGAAGGACTTGCAAGAAAGGAATAACAGCAGGATTATGGACACAAGGTATTGATAGTCTCGTTCTAAATGACGGAATGCATGATTGCAACATGGCATCTGCAGATCTTAAAATGGTCAGTAGGCAGGACGATAGTGCCACCTACACCTGGCCCACGCCAGTCTGTGCACTAGTAAAGGGTGCATATACATAGACGGCGGGAGCGTGCGAGGGTTGCAGTGGTCGGAGGTCTGAGTGGGTAAGGCAAGGATATGGTGTTAGAGCACTTTTGCCAGGCGAATGTTTCGGCCGCCATCGCTTACCTTAGCCAACATCTGGAACTATCCCCGTCTAGGAAAGACCGCCGCTCTCGGGTCAATAGCGCATTGCACGTGAGCGTGCTCGGTAGCCGCTGCCGTTTCAGGTGTTGGTCTTAGCTTCGGAAATTGGGAGACGAGAGTTTTTCCAGCTGCGCAATGCTGCGCCTCAGCTGTAAACACAATTGTCGTCTCAACTCCTGAGGACTTCGATCTTCTTTCCACCCTTCTTGACCCTCATCATCAGAGTCACCATTTAGCCTCGGCGCGCGCACGGGATAGGACAACAATCGTCATCGATCGCCAAGTATCTCGATATTAGCTACGATGGCTATCTGGAAACGGTTGACAGTGTCGTATACGGGACAATTCGACCCCACATATAGATTCGAAACATCCTGGATCCTTCCGCCTGGCGTCCTGTTTGGAATTCGCGCGCTGCTGTCACTATATGCATTCGTCACGTTATTCACCATCTTTGGCTGGAACGGCACCCATGGCAGATCGGAGGACTCGCAGCGCTCGTTCTCGTACTTCACCAATCTGACGTATTGGGGTCTTGCGTTCTATTACGCGTTCAGTGCTGCACATACTGGCAGCTATTGGCTCACCGGAACTCCATTCCTTGCTCGATGGCCAAAATGGCTCCAGGTAGCCCATAGTATGTTCTACTCCACTGTTGTCATTTATCCGTGGATCGTTACTGGTAAGTTCTCATATTTCCGTATAAGATGTACCTGATTTACATGGGAAGTCTATCTTGCATGAAGGATAGGACCTGTTCCATCTCCAAACACCTTCCTGTTCTGCTTCATACAATAGAGTGCGCATTGAGACTGACGATAGACAGCCGTCTACTGGGGTATCCTCGCCTCTAATGGGTTTCCCACCACTTTCTCACTATGGTCCAACACGTCTCAACATGCGCTTAACTCGGCATACGCCTTTTTCGAAATTTTCTTTCCACGGACTGAGCCAATACCCTTCCTCAACATCATACCGATCGTCATCTTGCTCGCTTTGTATCTTGCACTAGCTTACGTTACGTTTTACACACAAGACTTTTACACGTATGAATTCCTCGACCTGCGTAAGAATTCGTCTGGTATAGTGGGTGCTTACATCATCGGTATTCTCGTGGCCGCCATCGTCATTTTTCTTGTCGTCAAGTATCTTATCATGTTACGTGTCTGGGTTACAGAGAAGAAACTAGGCAAGACTGGAAAGTTCTCTCATCGTGGCACAGTTACGATGGCAAACGAGGAAGCTGAGAAGGGTGTCCCCATGCACGATGTCAGTGCGAAGCAGCCGAGTGTCGATGCTTCATAGCGTTTGATATTTCCGTTAGACGTCCGTTAATCATCTATTTAATACGTATTGCAAAGTCTACGTCCACAGCTCTCTAATTGGTCGTCCCTTGTTTCGCGAAAGAATCCTTGCTTTTCTCAAACATTCGTTCAAGCGGCCCAGTGCTCGACCCTCTAGGCTCCAAGCCACAATTCAAGGTCTAGGAGCTCCTAGCTGCACATCCGCCATGCCCTTGTCCTAGCAGCACGGAACTCCTGTATCTTTGCTTTTCCTCTTCGGTCTCAACAGCGGTTCGATCACCGCAAACCCACTGTACTCTCCTTCGTCTGGCTTGCGCCGGGCTTGGGATGTAGTGGCTTCCGCCGCCAGTTGGAGCATACCAAGTGCTCGCTGGTAAAATTGGCACAGTGACTGCAAGCGCAGCACGAGCAATCAGCATCCATCAGCAAGTAGTCGGTATGGGGCATCGAGCAGATTCGGCGCCGTCATGTAGTATAGACCCACTCCATGGCTGAGAGATCCAAGGTGTGTGTGCGCTTGGTCAGCTAGAGATCATATGACCCACTGATTTCAGAATCATAGTACAATCCATCTCTAGCGAGCATCAGAAGCAAGATGGGTAGCATGGTGGGCACTGTTGCGGCGCTACTCGGAGCGACAGATCAAAGCGCTGCCTACCCACCAACCATTGACCACACGTGAGCCACGCCCAGATTCGACGGACACGGGAAAAACAGAATAGAAAGCGCCGCATTACAGTTATCGCTAACATTGCAAGAGAAGATCCGTTTCCAGCTTCTAGAAAGAGGCTAATGCTGGCTAGTCATGGTGCTGACAGCAGCCACTGAACGCCATGCGATAAATGCCTCCCTTGCACAACAGTGATTGGTCGACATTATCCTTCAAGTCCAACGAGCTTACGACTGTTCTCGATATTTTTTGCCAACCTCACTCAAAAAGATCTTCGCAGGTATGAAACGGCTGGCAAATCTTTGAGCCTCCGAGATGGCATTTGCGCTTCAATGCCTCTTCAACACCAACGGAGATTTGTCGCAGAAAGGAACCGAATGCGAACGCCTCTTCAATATCAAGGCGCACGATCTCTTGGGCGAGCAGGTGCGAACTACACACAGCCAGTGAAAAGGTCTCCAGAGTGGAACTAGGTCGCTAGTATAACGACCGAGCAATATGGTTCGCTGAGTTGGTATGCTTGGTTCTTCACCCTACATGGATTGGCTGTTCCGTCTTAGTTTCTCACTAATTAATGTTTGAGGTGGGTTGTCAGTCGCAAAGCTGACAGCGGACAAGCGCCTCATTGATGCCTGTGCAGCGTACCCACTCGTTGGCACCCACGTGAGAGACACCTTTTCCAATGCTTGAGAGGGAGATTTTCAAAGCTCTAAGACAGCACGTCAAAACCTGAATCTTCCTGATGCCAAAGACTTTTATCGTTTATAAATCGATTGGACATCCAGACATACTACTAATTCACCCTTCCGACGGACCCGTCTCGACTGGCCTGAGAAACGGGGACCTCGCGGCGGTTCACGAAAACGTCGAAGCTTCCACCATGCTATAGAAGGGTATAATACAGAAGTACAGGCTCTCGTTTCGTCAAATTGCTGGGATATTCCATTTCACTGGTCCTGAATCGTTGCTTTTCGAACATCTAGTTCGAGTGAACGAATATCACCACCGTAACTGGAATTCCGTCTCCCAACAATGCGTGATATCTCCATTTGGCGGACGTCCCCTTGAGTTACACGAGACGGGAACCCAGCAGCGGCAAGGTCGTCCGCAAAACGGCACAAGCATCCTGGCAATGGCTTGCAGTAGTTCAGCTTGCGATATTCACCGTGCGAGTAGCCTACCACATCAGAGAGCAATCGAAGCCGATATATGTTTTTAGAGGTGATCTTCGTGAACCAGAAGATTTTTGCGTATAAGCTTGATCTGACGCTGACGGCAGTTGTTTCAACGTGCCAACTGTCTATCACAACTTACGTTTACACACTGCTCGACACGAAGGATGCATTCACGCCTCAAACGCGCCAAACCCATCGTTACCCAGCGCAAAGACTATCTACTTCAAACCCCGCGTTTTGCTAGTCAGGCGAGAAGTATCGGATCCTAGTGACGAATGCGACTGCTTCCCCTTGACCTTACCGATTCAGTAGGGCTGTCCCGCTCCGATGAACGAACACCAGTTTCAGATCAGGGAACGCATGTGAATGTCGATGGATGCGCAGATCTTCCGGTTGCAAACGAATGATGAGAGACTAGGGTCTCAAAGGACGCCTACATCCGTGAAGTTCGTCGCATTCGAAGAAGCTTCTTACTAATATTGAGCCTCAAGTCGTGTCGATGCCACGAGGTGAGCACGTTGTAGCCACATCTGCGTTGACATAGCAAACGCTAGACAATACCTGCGCAAGCCGTCAACATACGCCCACCAACCTCGTTGCTACACTAACTCTAGTCTCCGGTTTTTCAAACTCTGTTCACACGCTCTGTTTCTCGGGTGGCTCGTTCCTGTCCAACACCACGCAACTGCGGTGATGCCTGCGTAATGTTGCAGGTGGACTCGCGCTAAACGCATTTACTTTTCAAACGGCTGCATGGGACGGCTCGGGGCGTGGGGGCTTTCACTGAGGAGCGTTCGGTGGGCACCGGTGGGTTCGGTCATCACACCGGGCGATTGCGACGTACATTCACGTGCAACGTGCGATTTCGTACCGCAGCTGTAACGCTTCGCGCGCTTCGATGGAAATTTTGATGTGAAGGGCGACCTCGCACAGGTAAGCACAATCGGACTACTCCATAATCCGGCCTGGACCAAACAAGGCAGGGCTTCAAAATCTTGCATCGGGCACCAGAATACCATGTGCTCTGCATGTCTTCAGCTTCCTTCACGCAAAGCAATCTTCCAGACGTGTGCTCCATCTGCAGGTACTTGCAGGCACCAACTACCAACCGAATCGGGAATTAGCCGAGGTGTCCAACCCTAGCGAACAGCATCCTTGACGTTCGACTTGCGCTGACATAACGCAACTCGCCAACATACACACGCGCAGTCGCTTTCATCGAAATACCAGAGTATCGGGACAGGTTGAGATTCGACGATGATAGAGACCGTGCTCATTGTCCGCCATGCGGTACGTACATGAGTCAGATGCTCGCCCCGCTCTCTCTACATCTTCACGGTCCACACACTACCCGTGGAACTCGGTCCGGCATCCGTTACGCTTTTCTACATCTCCTGCCTGTGCTTTGTTACTCTCCGCCTTATACGTGGGCCTCCGAGTCTACAGTAGTCAAACTTACTGTTCTCAACCCCTTTACAACGACATACTTTCTGACAACGATGCCTTACCATAGTTTCGGTCAAACTGGAGTGTGGACCCTACAACAGGAGAATACACCGCACTGCTAGTCAAGTCTCCGACTGGCATACCGACCGATCCTCCGTTGACGTCGAAAGGCGTCCAACAATCCAAAGAACTTGCCGATTATCTGTCCAGTATCGAGCCGCCGGTTGATGTCATCTACTCGAGCCCCTTTTATCGCTGTCTGCAGACGCTCAAGCCATTCACCGACAGACACTTCGGTGGCGGCAAATCGAGTGGAAAGATCAGGATCGATCGAGGGATTGGGTATGGTGAAATCATCGACACGTACAATTGCGCAGCTACTGATGTACACCGTCCAGTGAATTCTTTGGTCGTGCTGACTGGGAACACCCACACCCACCCACTTTGGAGATGTTGACTCCTCACTTCGAGAACCTTGATCAAGACCATGTCTCTACGCATATACCAATGTCTAAGGGCGAGATGATTGTCGAACTTCACGAGCGTGTTCGAAAGGCTCTAGATCACATGATTACCACGCTGGATAACAATCCAGCACATCCCAAGACACTTCTGATCTGCAGTCATGCCGCCACAATAATAGCAGCTGGGCGAGTACTGACTGGTCAGATGCCAGATGATCCAGACACAGATGACTTCCAATGCTTCACTGCAGGGCTATCGAAGTTTATTCGCAAAAGCACCGATCCTGCAAAAGGTATAGCTGGCAACTGGGACTGTGTCCTCAACTCTGAGACGTCGTTCTTGTCAGGAGGTGCCGAACGAGGCTGGTAAGTACAACAACAATCCTTTTCCTTCGTGTCGTGAAGCCTTATGCTGGCAGGGAGTTCCAGTACCACAGGAAAGATTGGCCGAAGTCAGAACTTGCCTCGTCTGGTTGGGGCATGAACTCTTCTCTACTCAACATCTCATTACCACTTTCTGTCGAACCTATTGAACCAGCGCCTCGCGACTAATCGACACTACTAACCACCAACCCTAATAGGAAATTTAACGGCGACGAGAGCTTTGTGGCATTTCCCGATGACCCAATAGGAGCGGTGGAAGCCCCCAAGCTGTAGAGAGCACGACTTGATTTGCATCTCGTGTAGAGTCACGAGGCGCTGCAATGCAGCATTTCTGCCGGTAGTTGATAAATACCATAGACTCTAGCATTTCCATCGGTCAGGCCCACAGACAGTAGATATAAACGAAGATCACTTCGCACAACATGCCTCATGGTTATACATGGCGACGAGAATACGAGCTCCCAGCCCCTGCATGTCGTACCTTCTCCTCGCACCTCCCCGCCATCAGCCATGGAACCTGATGACCATGTATTTACGCACTCAAAAATGATAGCGAGGTACATCTACGCCCCACGGGCATATTCCCACCCTACCATACCCACAGCTCACACTCCGCACACCCTATCCTTACTCGCCCACAGCATCTCAAGATAGCCCTACACTAGCACCTCAGGTGCTCGCGTTTACGTTTCACATCTACCAAACTTGCTTTACCGACATATGCAACTCGTGTTCCCACGCCGTGTCCACGCCAGCTTACCAAAACCCAGGAACCTTCCCGTGCGCACATGTTTCGCTACCAGAGCCAGGTCACAGCACGTTGTGGCGCTGTGTTCTGAACTCAGATTTGAGGCCAGAAAGAAGTCTTGGTAAGGAGATCGACAGCGCCTGGCGGCGGGTGCCGAGTGGTAGCGCGAGCTGCCAGGTGAGAAGGGCCGAATAGGTAGGCGAGGGTGGAATCCGGGGAAGTGGAGGGTTGTCGGGGACGTCACCATCACGAGGAGCATTTGTTTCGTCATCAGAGAAGCAATCGTCAGAGTCTGTGGTCTGCCTCTTCGCGATGGCAGTGAAGAGACATTACCGTTAGACGAGTGTCCACCGACTGGTTTCCTTGGTGCTTGGATTGTAAAAGCAACTTGCGCTCTACGTGTGAATGAACTGTTACAACACGCTTTTTGCGTTAATTGGTACATTCAATTGCTTAGGGCTCACAACCTCAATCCCAAATCATCGTCACTACAACAACCCAGTTCTCGAAATCATCAGCATCGTACGACTGTAAAGAACAGGGAAAGAACCCAACTTGTACCGAGCCGACCACAGCAATGCCACTCTACGAAATCCACCACTCCTGCACCCTCACCGCCTCCCAACAATCCGCCATCGCCTCCGGCATCACCTCCCTCCACTGCACCACATTCTCCACCCCCTCCGCCTTCGTAAACACAACCTTCCACCCGACCTCCACAACCTCCCCTCAAATCTACGTCGGCGGCTCTCCCCAACGCACAAACTACATCCTCGGTCACTTGCGCCCGCGCCCCAACAACGCCGAAAAGCTAAGCCATATCGTCAAGACAATAACGGCCATATGGAATGAACATGCGCGACCAGTGGACAGCGTGCTCGGGCAAACAACGGTTAATTTGTTGGGCAAGGTGGGCGAGGTGACGGGGTTGGGGTATAAGGCGAAGAATGGGGATGGGAGACTGGATGATGAGAGGGCGCTGCATAATGTGTTTTTGATGGAGGACATCGTTGCGGGTGCGGAGCAGGGGTTTGTGCTACCGGTTCCGGGGAAGGATGGGGAGTGGGTAAGGGAGAATATGGGGGAGTTTGAGAGGAGGGCGGGGGATGGGGATGAGAGTGTGCGGGCTTTGGTGCAGGAGTATAAGAGTAAATTATGAAACGGGATTTGGTCGATTGGAAATGCATGTTAGGATTGGTATAGGATAGCGCCTATGTGGTATCTTGCGGGAAAGCAAAGAGTGACTGCAATCGCGATGCTTGTACAAAAGGTCCTGTTGGGAATGTTTACAATGGCACGTCTTCCATCATCTGTGTCGCACTTTCCCTTCCTACTGTGATGATCACATCTCCGAGCGTCTTTGTCGAGAAGCCTGCCTCTGAGTATCTGAAGTAGTAGTCCCACTTCCTCTTAAAGATCTCTGCACCCTCATCGTCCAGTTCGCCTTGCTTCTCCTTGATTAATTGCGGCTTTATCCTGCCGTCCCAGTTGTTCAGAAGTTCCTCTCTCCACGATCGCAGCGCTTTTGAGTAGTGTGGGCCAATGTTTTCGATGCTGTCGACGACAAGAGAGCCACCGGATGCGCTTTGTATCGACAAGACGAGCTCTGAAACTGCGGGCAAGTAGCCGCCGGGAAAGATGTATCGGCGAATGAAGTCTTCGGGCTTTGCGTAGGCTTCGTAGCGGCCGTCTGGCATGGTGATGCACTGGAAGCATGCGATGCCACCCTCCTTCAGCAGCTTATCCACACATTGGAAGTAGGTCTTGAGGTACGCCTGGCCAACAGCTTCCAGCATCTCGATCGACACAGTCTTGTCAAACGCTCCTGTCTCTGGTACTTCGATACTTCGGTAGTCGCAAAGAAGTATTGTAATCTTGTCAGACATTCCTACCTCACGTATCCGCTCTTCTGCTAGATCTTTCTGTTCAATTGACAGGGTCAGGGAAGTCACTCTGCATCCTGTTTGCTGTACGGCCCGCACGGCAAAGCTACCCTACCCTGTGCCAATTTCCAGAACGTGATCTGTTCCCTTGATGTGTGTGTTGTCGATGAACCGATCGAGCTTGCGCATTTGCGCATCGTAGAGACTCTCGCCTGAAAACTTTGGGTCTGACTTTGGTAGCCAAATAGGGCTCGAGTATGTCATGTCCGGCAAGAGGAATGCCGCAAACATTTCGTTCGAGATGTCGTAATGTGCCATGATGTTCAACTTCGCGTTCTTCAGGTCGTTACAGCCACGGACCAGACCTGCTAGTCCTGATGAAATCGCTGCTGTGAGGTTCGAGCCATTGCCGAGGTGATTTCGATTCAGGATGAAGAGCTGGCGCTGTCAGCTGTGTATTGCGCAAGTCATTAGTTGTTTACGCTCACCTCGATGAATTTGGTCAGATCGGGCGAGCTGACCTCTCCAAGCATGTGGCCCTCAGCAAAACCCTTCAGAACATCAGTCTCTGATTTTTAATAGCATACACCGAGTGGTCGGGCAGATGGAATGCGTACCATATCAGCGAAGAGTGCCAATCGAACCCAAAACTTGTCATCGTGTACGTGCAGATACGCAACCGGTACGCCTTCTTTGTCCGCACCAAATACATTTTTCGCCTTGCTTTCGTTGCCTTGAAATAGCACAAGCCTTCCTATCTGTATTTTCTGCAGTTGAGAAAGTGTGCTGTTTTTGCATGTTGATACGAGTGGTTGCCAGGCTTGAGATGTGAGTGTGCTGAGGATCGCTGATGCGGGCGCTGTTAAAGTGTTGAGGATCGCTATTGGAAGATCAAGTGAACTTCTGAAGGTCGGAGAGTTGTAAAGGAACGAATTGGTGGACTTAGTGATCTTAAGAGCTACAATAATTCGTCGTAAGGGCTCGCTGTCACAGTTTGAGCGCGTTGAACAGACACTATTGAAGGAAGAGAAGACCAGCCTAGTGGGTCTTCCTTGACAGCAGGCGCGCTTGATCATTTGAGTAAATTCACGCCGTTGCAGCGGAAGACCGAAAGCCGATGCGGTGCTGTTGATTACGCCGGTGGGTACAGAACCGCAATGCTTTCGTCTAAAGTGCTGAATCGACGAAGTACTTGACCGTTTCGAGTGACCGATGACATTGTAGATCGAGAATGCTTCATCGTGAGGGCTGAATTGCTCCGATATGAGCATATTCACCCACAATATGTTGCATGGGCGGCATGCCCATAAGGCAGGCACCTATATCGCATCCCTTGAAATTAGAAGCCCAGCAATCGTGCACAGGGCCCTGGAACGTTCGCGCTATCTTGCGAGAGCTACTTATCAGGGTCTACTAAAGCTTCAGCATCGTGCCGACTAGCGAGGGGCAGTCAGAACTCTGAGTAGCGACATAACACCGAGCACGTTTCAGGTACCATTCTGATCAAGATTGTACGGTCGCGGAATAGCATCAAGTACAGACTAGGCGACAGGTTCGATACCTGGACATTCGGAGAGGCTGAAGTATACAAGATGTTTGTTCCTCATTGCGGGCTGCTCGGGCATCCAGTACCTATTCAGCTCTGGATTAGTGAAGCGCGATCAACAACAGTATGCTGCAGTCTGTTCATAGATCATCCTCTTTCTGTGTCCTTCCTCCTTTTCCCATTGCTCGTTGGGACAGTTGTGATTGTATTTGACGTCGTTCCGTTTCGACGATCAGGTTCCAGAGATGGTGAACATAGTCTTCAGAGACGAGATTGGGCCTTTTGATCTGTCCTAACTGTGCAAAAATCAATTAGGAATTTTGATTGCGAGCAAGGGAGAAGTAAGGGTTCGCAAGACGTTGTTGAAGTTCATGTACAATTGCATCGTCATACTTACAACCTGACGGTTTCGGCAAGAACAGCCGTGCCTGCTCCGCGGCGACACGCTTCGACGCGTCCAACGCGTAAAGTTCAACACTACCCTGTGAATATCAACACTTAACTTAACACCGCTTACACAGAACTCACGATCAACACGCCCGGATCCGCAAACGAATAATTGGATTCTTAGACTTCACTCCATTGTTAACAGAACACTGGCAGAACCAAATCGACTTGACCAAGCGTATACTGCACAAACACGAACCCACATTTCCAACATGCTCTCAATACAGAATGCCAAGTCGAAGAAATGCACACCAAACCTCCTCCCGGCGCGGATAAACCACAACGGCCCCATCAACAGCACACCACGATACTGGGCGCCGACAACAGATGAGAAAGGTACAACCTGCTACAACCTCCGCACCCGCAGTCATTCAGCACCTCGCGCAACTCAGACAGGCATGGTGATGGCCGCAAAAATCTTGCAGCAATTCAACAACCCTCTGACAGACGACCAGAACGACGAATCTATAGCGAGTACTTTTACTGATGCATTTGCTCCAGGAACACAACACGTCCACTTCCGCGGCCGTCACCTGCACGGCACCACCCTCCCACTCCCATCAAACTACACCGGCGCCGTGCTAAATATCACCGACAAACTCGCCCCACAAACACAAACACGCACACTACCCTCTACAGCCACCGAATCCACAAACCACGACGACGACGAAGACATGGAGCAGGAATTACTCGAGGAAGTCAAGGTCGCCGAGCAAATCGGCGAGTTCGATTCCATCGTGGTATGGGGCCACGGCGGGGTGGTGGATGAAGGGTCTGATATGTTTGTGCGGGGAGTGAGGGAGTGGGTTGATTTCGCCGAGGCTCTGCATTGTGACGAGGAAGATGGAGTGGAGACGAACGGCGCGAAGCCATCATGATCCATGCGTCGTGGTTCAAGAAGAGGATGAAGCTTAGGAGAGGAGATGTTGAAGATACCCAGAGCACACCAATAATAATGATACAGGGCACGGTGAATGAAGATACAATTGATGTGTTGGCTCCCATCACCCGTCCCGAATATCCTGTCTCCCCTCAAGATACGTATGGCACGCGCTCAAAACCGGCAGCAACAACATCGCCACACTCAGCGTCTGACCGAAACCCCACACGTTCTCCCCTTCATCCTGCAGTCCACAGAAGCTTCTCTGATCACTCGGGTGCGCAAACTTCTGCGTCAGAACGAGGATAGCCGACAGAATGGCAAGCAGGATTTGCACTGTAAAAGCGATAAGCGGGTTGAGGAAGAGGAAATATATCAGTCGCAAACCGAAGTGCGCCGGGAGCGTGATAATGTGAGGCGAGTGGGTGGGTATAGGTGGCTTTTGGTCGGTGAAGCGGCGCATGATTTGCGCCATGGAGCCGCTTGAGTCCGAGATTCGAGACATGGGGCCTTTGCGGTCAGGGTCGTAGAGGATGCATACCAGTGCTGTTGAGAAGCCGACGAGGATGAATAACATAGGAACTAAGAAGGCAAGCCGCTGCACCCGACTCCGTTCCTCGGTCCCAGTGTCTTCGTGTGAGATTATGGTGGGCGGCATGCAGATGGCAGCGATCATAGAGGCGAAAAGGCAGATAGCGAAGAAAATAACGAGCGTAAGGCGGATTTTGGCGATGAGTTTGTATTTGTGGAAGTATTTGCGTAAGGTAATGAGGGCCGCAAGGTGGGATGATGAGGAAAGCGCGCAAATGTAGAGGATGAGCACAAAGTGGGCGCCTTGGACTTCGAAGGAGTTTTGGGCGACCCGTGAGTTGATCGTCAGCTCGGTAGAAATCAGAAAGAGAATGTCTCACCTTTATCCATCCACTGAGTAGTACAGCGTAGCTAGTTACCAGTTGCTGATCTCCAAATCCGATGACCAGCGGGTCCAAAAACGGTCGCCACGCATAATCCTTCTTCCACTCAGTATCAAGGAATCTCTCCCTGATATACGTAATCGGCGCTCGGAGTGTGAATTGGCCTTTCGAGTCGTATGCATTATCAAGGATCATCGCCAGGATCGAGGCTGCGGTCGTCATGGCGCTGGCTAGCACGAAAGATATTACAACCTGTATGTACATCAGCTTCGTTCACTTTGATGGACTTTGCCTCACTCACGCCTACACCTGCGATATCTGGCTCGGATCCGTTGGCGCAGTCACCGCCGTACCAAGCTATGTTGTCGAAGATAACCTAGAGATGTCTGAGTAGAGCTTTTTGTAGCCATGGTGTTACTGACCCATGGTGGCGCCATACAAAGCAAGATGGTAGTCTGGGCACGATATGAAAGAATGCAACGAATCTAATTGTTCGGGTGAGGTGTTGGCTACCGTCCATTGTGTTTGCCCTGATGCGTGCAGAGCAGGTGAGAACAGGTCGAATGGAAAGGAAATATGTGGAGCGGCTGAAGCAGGTCAGTCGGTGTTGTAGGTGTGGGTGTCGATGATTTGGGTCAGGGTTCATGTCGTGCGCCGGTGTGGAGGCACTCGCGGCAGAGAAGGAGCTACTCTTCAACATCGTGCAATTGCAGAACGTCTATTTTCCGCATTCAAAACCGATCCCAAGCACTATCACGCGTGTTTCAGGGGGCGTCGTACTTTGGTGTCAACTCATTGTGACCATTCAAGTTTTCATTATCTACTACCAACACCCTGCGCCTTGCCATCAGCGCAACGTGTGTCCCACCAGCCTTACTCGCCCACATAGTCCTGACTGATATTGAGGAGTACCGCGTGTTGAGTCCCATTTGCAAGAGAAAGAACGCCGAGGACCTGATAATGCTGATGCGACCCAGAACATACAGATCCTGGACTCCACGCTGCGCTCAAGCCAACAGTACAGCAGATTGGTATGAACAAGTAAAGAGATGACAACTATCACCATGTACGGCGGTAGCGCCGCACCGGACTCGGTATTGTTGGGGCCTCTACTTCAGGCACTACCCCATCCGCCCACTTCTAGAACTCCCATTACTCCTAATGATCAGACAAGTTGCCAGGTATGAGCTCACTGAATGACAGAGAAATCGAGAACTCCGAATACGTGTTTGGTTGTCGTGGGCTGTCCTGCTGTTGTCTTGGATACTCCTAGTACATATTCGGGGGTCCCGGGCGACCTTGTTGCTGTTGCCTTGGGCCTGGTCCACCGAACTGACCATCGAACATCATCCTAGGATCCTCGCCTCGCATACCCGGTGGCGGTCCGTAGCTTGGTGGAGGAGGGAAGTAGCCTTGTGGCGGTCCCTGCATACCGTTGCCGCCAGGGCCTCCAGGGAAGCCTGGTGGCATTCCACGCATGCTGCCGCCACCAAGCTGTGGCAGACCGGGAGGGTGAGCTCCAAGCGGGGTGTTACCTGCTGAGAAGCTTGGTCCTCCTGGGCCCATCTGTTGCTGCGGGTTGGGCCCACCAAAGCCAGGCGGCTGGCGCATCGGGCCTCCAAAGCCTGGGGGAGGTGCAATGTTTGGTCGGTCTTGGGGCGTTGGTGGCATTCCTGGTTGGCCGCGACCACCCATGTAGGGCATGTCAGGGTGTTGCTGGGATGGAATACCCATATTGGTCATTTGGCGAGGAACCTCGCCGGCGGTGTTGCGGCGCTGAAGGCTCAGTGCTGGGTCTTCGTGACCGGGGAAGCCCATCGGTAGACGTTGGTTCTTGTTCCGCAAATCCTGCTGCTGCTGCTGCTGCTGCTGTATGTTGAGCTGCTGACGAAGCTCCTGCTCCCTGCGCTGAGCTTCTTGGCGCATCATGTCGCCTTCGCTGAACATGCGAGGATCTTCCATGAAACCAGGTGGGAGTCCGCCGCGGCCCTTCTGCTGGGGCTGAGGTCGCTGCTCATGCTGCATATTTTCGAACATGGCCATTGGTGGACCGCCTCGAGGAAGATTCTGATTCATCATTTGTGGCGGTGTAGCTCGTGGTTGTTGCATGAGTGTGAGTAAGAAGTCACGCTCACGCTGCTTCTGCCCTTGGTCGCGCTGTGAGTCTTCGCGCGCACGACTGTTCAGAATGGCAGCCAGATTGGCATCTTGCGGGTTAGGGTTCCTCGAAGGAGGTTGTTGGAAGGGAGACTGTCCCTCTTGACGTCCAGACTCAGGTCGAGGAGGTCCAAACTGATCCTGGAGTGCGTTCTCAGGAGACATGGTGTTGAATCGCGCTTGCTGCGATGGTGTAGACTCTGGCGCCGCGGGAAGAGGAGCTAAGATGTTCTGGAGGATGCTCTGCTGCTCAAGAGTTCGGTTTGGTGGAGGCCTGTGATTCTGGAGTTCTGGTGGTGGTGACTGCTGGAAGTCTAACGAGATGCCGCCTCCATGTACTCTGACGCCGTTCGGTGGCGATGGTTGATTTGGTGGTGCTGCTTGAGGACCGCCAACGTTGACTTGGCCAAGCATCTGTAGGATACGCTGGAAGCCTTGTTGATCCTCATTGACGTTGGGTACAGGTGATGCAGGAGCCGGCGCAGGGGCTGGGCTCGGCGCTGCTGGTTCCTCGGACTTTGCGAACATGCTCATGAACTTTGATGCCTTTGCTGGCTTCGGCTTTGCTAATATCGATTCGTTCTGACCCAGCTCGGCGCCCTTGACGTTGCCCCAGTTTCCAAAGAGGATACCTTGCGTGGGCTCAGTGGTTGTTGGAGTTTGAACCGGTGCTGTGAACATAGGCGGTACAGCAATGCCTGTCACAGTTGCAGGCTCAGCAAAGGTCTCCTTTGGCGCACTCTTTTCCTCAGCTGGCGTATCCTTGGCTTTCATCTGTTCTTTCCAACGCTCGAAGTCTGCCTGTGTCTTGATCTGGGGCTCCTTCTTCTTCTCGACCTTTGTGTCCATCCATTCAGGATCCTCCTCAGCCCGGTTTCCGCCTCGTTCCCAATCGCGTTCGCCACGTTCGCGCTGTTCGCGTTGTGGTTGTTGTGTGCGTTCACGCCAACCTCCCTGCACGCCAAACTTGCTTCCCTCCTCCTTTGTCTCGTCTCGCCGACCCCAGCGTTCTGTGCGCTCTGTCCGATCACGCTGACCACGTCGTGGAGGAGCGTCATCTTCTAAGCCGCCTTCAGTCTTCTCGCGATTGCGATCATTACGATCACTGCGGTCGCCACGGTCGCCGTTGCGGTTGAGGCGCTCAAAATCTTCTTGACCTAAGCTCTTACGACCCTTGACGCTTGTCCAGCCCTCGCCATCCTCTCGTGCACCGCGTCGACCATTCGTGATGCCTCTCTCACGGTTTCGATCTCGGTCGCCGTCACGAGACCATCGCTCATTCTTGTCACGAGGGAAGCGATCGCCGAGTTGATCGCCGTCGGTCGAGATGACACCCGTGCGCTCCTGCTTGTCACCTGCGTTCTTCGCTGCTCGAGCTGCCGATGTGAAGTTGAGCTTCGGCGGACCGAGCACCGTTTCCTCGCCCGGTTCTACAAAGAGCGCGTTAATAGCAGCGACCAGGCCTGGACCTTCAGACTTACGCATGCTCTGACGTCTCCCGAACTGACCCATAGGGTTAATGAGGGGACGATCCGTGCGATGCTCAGTAGTAGCTCCTTCTCCATCTCGTGCGCCTCGAGTGCGGCGAGCAGTGCCATTGTTGGCGGTGTGGTTGTTATTGTTGTTTTGGTCGGCAGGCACGTCCATCCATTGCAGGATTGACGGTAAGCCATCTGGCTTTTTCACCAGCGGCGATTGCCTGAGCCCTTCTAGCTGCTCTGCTGTGTACCTCATGCTCGCGGCCGGTGTCTGTGACTGGAGGGAGGCCGAGGTGGGGCAAGCGGGATATTGCAGGTTCAGATGCGGTTGCTGTTGCGGTTTCTGTTGCAGTTGGTATGGATGTATGTGTTCGTGTTGTCGCAGCGACGGAGGGGCGGCTGCCTCCAAGCAGTGGCTGCGTGAAGCGCTCGATGCGCAAGGAGCTCGTCAATTCCCGTCTTATAATCCTTGCACTCGAATAGCAATGTGGTGGGGGCGGTGTGCACGGAGGTAGCGTCAAGCGGTACAGTAGTAGTGAGCAGTCTATTGCGAGGTCAGTGGTCAGGTCGGCCGTCGCGCCGAGCTTGTTGTCTGAGGTGGGCGGAGCTCGAAGTGGGATTGATCAGGGTGGACGCACCTCGAACCACCCCTGCACTGAGGCGTCGATGAAAAGCGGAGAAGCACTTGCGCTTCGGCGCTGCGGTATGGCGTGCAATTGGCTGGATTTGTCGATATTCTGATATTCGTTTGTGGTGTCCGGTGTAGCGGAGGGAGTACAAATAAGAGCGACTGTTTGTTGTTATGTGTTTCGCATTGGCTGCAAGCGTTGGAGGTGCACGCTGTCAAAGGCCCACTAGCTGCCCTTAGTCATCGCTCGAAGAGACGTCATTGCAGCCTCAGGCCATCAAGGACCTTTCACACCGTTGAACAGAGGATGTACTGAATCCTGCGAGGTATACAGTTCATGCTGCTAATGCTTCCATACCATAGCAAAATGCGAACGTTACGCCTGCAATGCTCCACCGTCCAAACTCCAGCACCGCAAATCCTGTGCTCAAGCTTCTACTCTGACCAAACCCGCAGCAGCCTTTTCAATAGTCCCATTACTCCACTCCGCAACTCGTCCCTGATCACACGTCTCATAAACCCTCTTCGCCAGCGCCCTCAGCGCCTTCTGCCTCGGGTCGTGATTGTTCAAGCACATCTGAACCCACGAAACCAGTCCGCACCTCGTAATAAGCGTGGTACTCCCCCCAACCGCCGTCGCCCTCAACAACAGCCTGACGATCTTCTCTTTGCTGGCCGCACTACACGATCTGCTCGCGTAGAACGACAGCAACTGTTCGAAGATATTGCTCTTCCTAAAGCTCTCCATATCCCGCGGTGTGCGCAGTCCATCGATGAGGTAGTCCAGGAACCAGTCGACCTCCTTGTGGTACGTGCCGTCGTCATCTGGCTCGCTGCCAACAATGCTGCGGTACAGTTTCCTCAGGAGGAAGTCGACATCCCAGGATGGCGCGGTGGTGAGGAACTTGTTAATCTTGCTGAACATGACGTGGGTAGGGTCGGCGAGGATGCGCACACTGCGCGCTGCGAAGACGCCGCCAATGTAGGGGAAGGGCGTAGCGCCACTGGGGTCGAGTGATTCGAGGGTTTCGCCGAGGAGGAGGTAGATGCCTCCGAGATCTTGGGTGAGGGAGTCGGCCTGCGTTCGGTTAGTGGTGAGGTGTTGGAGGAGGCTGAGGTGAACTTACGCCGATAGTTGCCATCAGCTGGCGGACGTTGTTGATGGCTTGTATGCGAATCTCCTGGTGTTTCGAGCATAGACAGAGGAGGAGCTCGCCGATGTCGCCGTCCTCGATGGCTTCTTCTATTTCCTTCTTCCGCCAGCGAGTTAGACCCGTGTGCTTCTCGTCTTCTTGTGGTGGGAGTTCGAGGTCGACCACCGGGCCGGTCTTGGCTGGTGCTTCAGCCTCTGTCTGAGGGACAGGCGATGCACTGGACCGTTCTGACCCGCTGAAGTCGGCGCCGGTCGCAAGCTTGAGGGCTTCTTTCGCGCGTGCCTTGTACATCTTCCACAGAAAAGCGTCGTTCAGCACTTCCTTGTATGCTTTGCCGGCTGACTCAATCAAGCTATCACGTACTAGAGTTAATACTGTCTCGTCCTCACCAATCAGATTGAAGAGGTAGAGGAGCTTTGAGAGCCACCCGGCAAGAGCCTCAGCAGCTGGGCCTGTCGCTGACTCGCCGCCCTTGAACGGCCACTGCTCGATCAGTGTCATCAGGAGGGGACTGAAGGGACCAACATCTGCTGGTGCTGAGGACGCTTTCGCGCACATGGTATCTAGGTCGTCGAAGTACTTGATCGGAACCTTGATGAACCGTGCACAGCAGTCGTCGAGGAAGTCAAGCACTTCCACTGACGGCACTGAGCCGGCAGAAGGCTCGAGACTAGCAATGAGTGCGTCCAATGCGTCAGGTGACGTCTTTGTTTGGAGCATCTCCTGATCCTGCAAGACTGCATTGAGCAACGATTTGACACCGGTGTACAGCTCATTCTCTTTCGAAGTAACGAGAAGCTTTAGCAGCGTGACAAAGGGCGAGTGTTGGAGAGTCTTGGGCTTCTGCCACCAGCGCATCGCGGGCGAGTGTCGTGCCATCTGGATCCAGTGCTCGAGTTCCATGACACGGAACGATGTATCTTCTGGTGATCCTGTAGGCTTTTCGACCTCGACTAATGCGTTGCACAATGGCAGCGAAACGTCGAACTTCTCTTGCAGAGCAGCCTGAGGTGTGACCTCGTAGTACAGCCTTAGTAGACGTGTGATTGATTCCCGCTTCAAGCTTTGCAGTCCAGGCTTCTTCAACGCCAGAAAGACAGTCCTTGTTGTCGGGCAGCGGCGACTGAACTCAGCGACAAGACGTTGCGATGCTTGTTCCCACTGCTTCGACGGCCTGACAGTGCTCGCCTCATGCAACTCTTGTACCATGCTTCGCAGCTTCTGCAGCGCGACAACGAGCACACGAATCGCAAACACCTGGACCAAATCCGAGCTGTGGTTCAGGCACTTTGTGAGCACCTGTTGGTTCAGGGGCTGCGGCAGAACGCTCTGGATCATAGCTGCTACTGGAGGTGGCTGACTGCGGTAGCTTTTCTTCACGCCAAAGTACTTCGGGACCGGAAGTTGAATGGTTTGGAACAAGAAGGCGGAGTATCCTATCCATGTGGAGGTAAGGTTGGGATCATAGTTGAAGTCCCTTCGCTTGATGAAATAGTCTGCGACCAATTCTGGCGAAGCCTTGAAGATCTCGATGACAAGCTTCTGATGTGATGTGTTCGCGTACGGGCGCTGACTCTGTATGAACTCTGACAAGATTATGTTCCGTACGCGGCCTAATCTGTCAAAGGTTTCGGCCGACTCAAGTCCCAGATCGTTGGCATTATCTGCGGCCTCGTCCAGGTCGCCTTCTTCGTCGTCGTGTGTCGATGGATAAAAGCCGTTCGTTGGCAGCATAACGCCATACGCAGGATCTGTGCATACCATACATAAGAACTCGTGGGCCAGCTCTCCTGGCGCCTTTTGTCCTTCAGACAGCGAGCCCTCCTCCAGATCATAGTTGAAGAGACCGGCGATGCGCGAAAGTGTCTTGCCGTTCAAGATACGGCTCTTCGTCTGACGGGGGATGGTCTTGTCCTGGAACACGTGACTTGTGAAGACGTCGAAGATTTCGAAAATGAGGAACGGCGGATCGGTACTGAGGTGGTCGAAAGCGGCTCGTGTGACATTGGTGTTGGAGAGAATCTCAACTTTGGCGCGTTCATCCTGTAGCCTCAGATGCGTGAGCAGGTAGCGGATCGCTGTAGTCCTGACGCTCGGCTTCTTGTGCATATCTGCAACTGACATGCCCTTGTGCTCCTTCCATAGCGCAATGTTTCTCCCCAAAATCCTTGGCTCTAGTGTGAAATCTTTCTTCGAGTACACGGCTCTTGCGTGCGCGCCCTCATTGAACCTGGTGAGCTCCGTGAGCAATCTGAGAGCCGGTGAGATAACATTCTCCTTGTTCGATGCAGCAGAGGTACTGCGGACTAAACGACGAGCGACTGAAGGCTGCAGTATTGTCTTCGCGAGTAGGGTGCCGTATTCGGTGAACTCGGAATGGCTGGACAGGACCTTGAAGAGAAGTGCGAGGACAGCGGTGACCTGGGCAAGAATAGCCTCGAAGTTGGTCTCGGCCGCCCAGTCCCAAGCTTGTATGAGGTTTGGGAGTAACGTTTCGTGCTTCTCGTCTTGACTCTTGCCCTTCTGAGCGTTGAGGTATTCGTGCAGGATGGCTCGTCGGCGGGGCACGTCATGCTCGTCGGTCGCGTAGAGGATCGAGTCGAGGAATCGCTTGAATAAGCTTAAGCCTGAAGAGATCAGTCTGGTGTACCGCTATTATGGGAGTCGTGGTGCATACCGTTGCGAAAGTCGGCCGTCGCATTCTGGTCGAAGTACAGGGCCTTCTGCAAGTCGCGCGCAGAGTGCACCTCCTCCGCACCCGCACCGTTTGGTCGCGGAGAGTTGCGCTCATGGCTACCTTCAATTCTCTGGCGTTTGGCCGCATGCGCACTTCCCGCGTCACCCTCGAAGTTCGTCCGCTTCCCCATGTCTACCAGATCTGTGAGAGTGATGCGCCAGCCACTCGCATAAGCTCGAAAAGTTGCGGAGAGCATTGAAATTTCGACAGGGATCTTGGACACTAATTCACTTTTGGCTAGACCCAACGAGCTTATATTGCGGGGCCAGATACGGCTTATCACCTTGCTCACAGTGAGACGAATACCTTCTAGAGCTCTAATGTGCGCATCAATAACGGGCTTGTGATATAAATTAGATGAGAAATTCTACGATAAGTAACGCCAGGCCATGCAAAAGCTATACCAATCATGGTACGTATAACCTAGAGTACGCAACCACCTTCGTCCTACAGCACACACAAGCTGTATAGTTCTTACTCGCCAGCCCTACACGACACTCGTCGCAAAGTGATAGACATCCACATGGCCAGACGAGTACCGTCCTGGGCGTGAGCTGACACACAACGCATTGAGGTCCTTCAGATCCCATGCCCTCAGCTCCAGTGTCCCAGCTGCCTGCAGCGCTTGATGAGCCTTGCGGTGCAGTAGCTTGCCGCTTGTTGAGGATCAAGTCCTCCAACAACTGCTCTTCCTCTTCCGGCGTCATGTCAGCCGAAGCTTCGAGGCGATAGCGGGACGTTGTCAGAACCTTGGCCTGGTCTTGATCGAGGGCTTTGCGGTATTGGGACCGTGTCATGATCTGTGAACTCTGAAGATGGCGTGATAGGAGCTTGGCTTCCTCTCGGTCTTCCTTGGTTTTAGGATCGAGGAGAGTCGAAAGGCGCGAAAGGTCGATGGCGTTCTCTGCTGCTGGAGTTGCTTCGCGGCTGCGCTGGTAGGTGTCTCGAGTGGGCGTTCGTTGCCCGTCATCCTCGAAATCCGACCAATCATCGTTATCTGTGGTCGCGTATGATAAGACGCTTGTGATATCGTCGTCTTGCGGTGGGACATAATCGCTACTACTGTCCACGTCGCCAAATCGACCTCCGTTGCGCCACCACGAATACATGTAGTCGTCAACGCGCTCGTTAGACTCCTCGGAGGTCGGCGCGTCCAAGAAGCCGGTCTGACGAAGTCGATCCTTTGCGAATGCCTCAGCATCGAACTCATTGTCGAGACGGACGCGAGACCGGTCATCTAGTGTCAACCATGAGTCCACAGATGCTGCACGGCGCTGTCTCTTATTGTATACTAGCGGTGGAAAGCGTGGCTCTTTCGTAGGGCGGGGCCCGGCGAGGCGTCTGAGCCATACCGGACGGTATCCTACCCTCAGTCTTTGCAGCATTGCGATGGTCAGTCTGGCATGGATGAGCATGATCAATCGTGCAATGCCCTTAAAAAATTGCCAAGTCAGATAGAAGCGTCCTCTTCGCTGTTGAAGTCCAGCTGGATCACCTTGCGATCCGGCACCGCCAGCCCCAGGCGCAGCATTCATACTTCGCGTCTTCCGCTCGCGAGCATATCCGGATGTCGACGCTTCGGTTAAAGCGTCAGCATTCGTTTTGTCCTCCACCTCGACACCCGGAGCAAGAGACTCTCCTTTCAGCTCCTTAGGTATGTTCGTCAAGGTCTGTCTGAATTGACGTCGGCGATCCAATACTTCTTTCAATCGTTTCTTCTCGAGGAAAGTCATCGAATGAACGTTAATCCGGACCCCTTCGTTGAGGAAGACAGCTTCGCTCGCTGCAGTCAAGACCGTGAAACCCACCTTAAGGATCGCAGTATAGAAATCCTCGTGCCAGCTTATTGTAAGCGGTGCTATCGAAGACAGGTGTATGTTGGCATGCAGGTTGCTATAGGCAACCTCAAAGCGTTCCTTCCAGGTCATCGTCTCTCGTTGACCTGGTGGAGGAGCCAAGACGGTGATAAAGAAGGCCAGAAGATAGATAAACCCACAGGTAGCAATGCCAATCATGATCAGGAGATGAGGGATGAATCCAACAATGCAGACGGTAGGAAATCGTAGCAGACCGACAGGATTGTCGGATCCTGCGATGGCCTCGGTCAGCCGCAGGAAACTCCAGACAAAGGTTGCCATGTATGCTATGCCCCATATGGCAGTCGTAACAAGGCGGTACCTCGATCGCACCCCAGCAATTGCTAGCAAATTGCTTGTGGAATGACTGATACTAGAAATGAGAGAAATCAAAAGAACCTCAGGTGGAACGTTCGCGATGCTGTTGAGGCCGGAACGTGGTACCAGGACAGTTGTTCCATTTGGGACCAAGACGTTCTTGGGCTGATTGAACCGTGTGGAGTTGATGGTTAGGGGCTTGGTGACAACAGCTTCGGCCTCGGCGAAAGCTAAGGAGTGCTCGAATATGGTCATGCCAACTTCCTGGACAGGGGGACGACCTTGGAGGGCGCAACACATGGTCTCAACGAACTGACCAAAGCCCAGTGACAAGAACAAGGGCCAAAGCAAAGCAAGCGAGCCGTTGTCTCGCGTGGTATCAGCAGCACCTGGTAACATACCCACGGCTTGACAAGAGTCTGTTGTATTCTCCCAGAAGAGGAACCTGGATGAAGCGCGGTATAGGTAACCTCCCTCTCCACTGAAGTCTGTACTCAAGTATCTTCCAGTTGTTCCATACTGCATGTTCGACCAGTCGGGTGATGTCTGGCATCGAATAGCCCGAACCATGTTGAGGTTCTGCAGCATGAACAGCATGAGAGGAGCAATGTATAGGGCGAGGCGTATGTACAGGCGGTCGAAGGAGAGTGGTACTCGGCTGGAGGCGTAGAATTGGGTTCGATTCAAGAGAATTGCCTGCAAGACTAGTATCAGTCATACAGTCATCAAACAATACAGTATTCCACTCACTAAAGCAAAAGTCGCAATAGCCCATTTCGAAGTGATGTAGCTGAAGAAGCTGGCGACGTTCTTGAAAGCCTGAAACATGCTGATCTCGTCTGCTGACTCAGATGCTGCTGCAACTGCGGCTGCTACAGACTCCTGCGCAAACTTGCCAGCAGTAGTCGCCGTTGTACCGTTGGTGAGGTTGGCCATGGTAGGCTCGGCAATGACGCTGCCACCGGAGCGCATCATGTCACCGAGCGAGCTGGCCTTGCCGAAAAGCCGCGGAAAGACCATGAGTAGGTCTACTGGTGACGGTAGAAACGAAGTCATGTTGGTGAATGCGCCTGAAGTCTGATCCATTGCGACCGGGGAACGACGTCCACGATGGGCCGGGAGCGACAGGGGCTGAGACAAGTTGGGCAAGTTGGTGGTCCTATTGAGTTGCGCGCATCGTGGTTGCCGGATCAGGATCAATCATCGAAGAAGACCTGTTTGGCGTCGGACATATGTGTTGGGTTGATCCTTTGAGTTGACGCTGTTAGATCGCAGTCGCGTCATGCTTTGTGGAGTGCAGCAGGAGCGAACGAACCAGACGCCGCGGTCCCTGACCCATCGATTGCCCCACACCTTCACCTTGTCTCAACCACCATCAGGTCGATCATCGTGGCTCACACAGCAATTACCATACATTGGCTACTTTCAATACAAGAGTCAGTAAATGTGTAAGCTCGCAAATCGATCGAGGACGATTTGGGCGCGGGTCAGACATTGGGACCAGGCACAAGCATTACCGTGCAGGTGGCTTTGGGGCCTCGAGATCACAGGGCCAGGGTATCAGTCGTTGGTCAGTCATCATTCACGCCATCCTTCTGGTATTTGAAATGGACAAAATAAGCCTGCCGAGTCAGCGAAGTACAAAGAAAGTACCAGCCACCCCTGATATTCGGACACTTGAGCCGCAACAGTAGTTCAGTAGTCCAGCAGCTCGACAAGTCAACCGTCTCCACGACCAGATTCAACTTTAGGTTGTGCCCCGGAGGAAAGTACGACGGATGGCAATTCGATGTCGTTGCCCGGAATGCGGCAGCGGGCGCCCCCACTAGTATCAACATCATTTCCTGAGTCTCAGCACTCGTACCAACTTGAAGTAGTTGCAATAGCATAGCACTAGCTAGAAGCATCAGATCAAGCTCGAATCTTCGTTTGTACACGCACAATAGCGGCAATCGAGTCGTCCAGCAAGTTAACCTGACCCTGAATTGCGTGTCACGCCTACGTTTGAAGTCTTTGTTTCGAACTTGAGCTGCATGCCAGGGTGGTTGAACAAGACTCCATTATTACTGGTCAGCGTGATGTCCAGATACTTATCCCTTGCATTCGGCGCGTCTTGCACGCGCCCCTTCTTGGCATGGATGCTGTTAAAGGCTTTAAGTACCTTGCACACCCTTTCTATTAGCTCTTTACTCTCTTTCACCCATTCGCTATCGTACCCGTCAGTGTTTGGGTCCTGACACTGCCATTTCTGATCACCAGCCCACTGCCACCGGTTCATTCACTGCGCCAAAAAAGTCTTTTGTTTTTGTGTTTACTGCTCTTACCCCTTGTTGTACAACTAACTTTAGGTCCCCTCGTTACCTCACTGATTTGAGCTCCCTCAATCACCGCAACAATGAAACCATTCGGCTATTTGATAGCCAGTGCGGCACTGCTCACTACAGCAGCTTCGCAAGTCACTTCGAAGCAGCCTGCTGCAAGCAACCTACTCACCAATGGTTGAAAATTCAAGGGTTGTTACTTGTATGCGTCTCATCCCCTCTCTTCAGGGAATAAAAACTGACGCACATCAGCGACAACAGATGGGATCTCCCCAATGACCGCGCTCCAGGCGGCTTCTTCGTCCGTGTCAATCCGAATGGCGGTGTGAGTTGCACGAATATTTGCAAAGGCCAAGGCTACAAGTTCGCCGGAACAAACGACAATCAGTGTTGTACGTTCAAGTTGTCCGCGGCATCACTGTGAGTTTGAGTGATGCTGATCATGAACAGGGTGCAACAAAGTCATCAACCGCAACAACTCGGCTACCGCTGGTATCCTGTCTCCCGCCGGTATCGCCAGCTGTCAAGGCGGTTGTAGAGGAAATCCAAACGCGAATGAGGGCTGTCGAGCAATCGAATGGTTCATCTCCATCTACGAGTTTACTGTAAGTGGATTCCTAAGAAATGCCTGTGTGCCTATGCTCTTGTTGCTCTGCTTTTTGTACGTGATTTCTGCTGGGAGCGGGGAGCGACCGAGCGCTCGGTGTAGGAGGGAACTGGTGGGGACCAGGTTGAAGAGATGGCGATATACGAGTGGGAGGGGCGGTGCTGGAGATGCCCTTATGTCGGGACCCAGGCGACTCGAACCTTTACTCTCTGTTCTCGGCATCTACAGAGTCGATACAGGGACAATACGACGGTTTCACACAAATACACCAAGAACATATCGCCAAAACGATCATCCCTCATCCTCCAACAATATCTCCTCGCCTTCGATGTCTCACTTCTCTTTCCACATCTCATCACCCATCTTTCAAGTGCCTTAAGAACTTGGAAGCGACCTTGATGTGGCCTTGCTTCAAAGCCCTCGTACGAAGCGGACATGTTCTTCCTTCGTCCCTTTCCGAAACGGGTAGCAGACTGTCATATATTCTCTGCCACACTCAAACGCCCAAACTTCTGCCTCTCAACTATCAGCAGATCGTAATCATACTCAAAGAATATTCTGGCCCGAGATCACGACCTTCAAGCTCCAATCATTTATCAGAACAGTGCTCGAAGAGAATGATGTTTCTTTCCTTGTCAAAAGTCGAACTCTTCAGTGACGATGTTCTGCTGTTTCTGCCTGAGCTTGGTAGAGGAAACAGTCCGCAAATACTCTATACATTTCGAAAGCTACAGACGTGCGATGACTACAGAAGCTTCGGAAGTACCAACATCAACAGATTATGGAAGGCATAAAAAAGACAGGGAAAGATTGGTCATGTCTTCTGGAGGGCCAACGATTGTTTTCATTCTGCCAACCCTCTTGCGAGAGTCGGCCTTGAAAGCTTCGTGATACCTGGTCTTTGATACTTCTAAAGACTTGGATTTTGGTCGTTTGAATTTGGCCTTCGTGCTCTTTTGTACACTGTGACTTCATTTCTCTGAAGGGAAAACCTCAAACCAAAGGCTACGTTCCTTTTTTTGAAAGGGACATGGTTTCAAAACGTTCCCTACTTCTTTTCCTCTTGCCTTGAAAGTTATTTGACTATGCTTGCGACTCTTGTCATGCTCTGAGCAGCGCCAAGACATGGACTGAGGCGAATATGTCGGAAAATGGGGTGTTTTATCTGCTTATGTGCATTCATCAAACGTTCGAAAGGAAAGAGAGAGGAGCACATGTGCCTGTAGAGCGCATTCAAGCTCTCACATTTCATGCCTAGAGATAGAAATTCGAGAAGCACTTGCACAGGAATTGTACCTTCCAAAGTGGACATTCAATTGAGCCGTTGCACACACTATTGAGCTCAGTTGAATGCTAAACACCGCGCGCGATACGCTCAAAGAGAGTGGATATGATGAAATTGATTGCGCAATGGAAGACAGAGGATGACTACATCGACGCCACCCTATCCTGGGTTGACGCTTCGAAGCGGAGCAGGTATGGACGAATTAGAACAGCACCGATTTATGGAGCCAGGATGAAATTTTGCAAGCCAGACACCATTTAGAATCCTTCCAAATGACCAAACACACAAACGAAAAAAAAAATCAAACAAGATTTCAGACCGCGCAGTAGAATCCAATGAGCAGAATTCTACTCAAGCTCGTAGATGACCTCCCATATGCACAGACCGGAGACTCACAGCCCTTGAGGCCTGTTGTCAAACTTTGCCGACTGCCCCCAACGTGTTTCTTCACCTACTGACCGCAAACACGGCAGGGGTAAGGAAGCTGATGAGCGTGGCAGTACCCTGACTGGTTATAGTTTGGTGGATAAGCGTAGTTGACCGGATAGCAACCCACACCTTGAGGTACACCTGTAGCATACGCGAGTATCTGGCCGTTCATGCGCATCTGACCGAGCGCGCGCTGGTGTTGGTTGATGACGGTCGTCATGGAGGTACCGTATACACCCAGCATGCCCTCAAGGTCATCGGACTCGATGTCAGACGCGCGGACGAGGAACGCGTTGCTGGCTTCTTGGTGGAGGGTGCGCAGGTTGAGAAGTTGAGCGACTGCTTCTTTGCGGCGCGCGGTGAGGTGCGCGTTATGCTGCTCCAGGGCTTCGATGCGGGCGAGCAAGTCAGGCGGCTGCTCCTTGGAGGCTCTCAGTTTCGCATTCTCGCGCTCGAGTGCGGCGATGCGTTCAGCTTGATCGCGCTGGCCCTCTTGGAGCGCTTTGATTTGCGCGCCGAATCCCATGGGAATGGTCAGTGTGGCGGTCATTGACGGGGGTGGTGTTGGTCCGGACATGGCGCAAGATTACGCTTTTGTCACAAATGACGGTTGTGGAGACGAAAGGAATCGAGGGGCGCAGTGATAGTGGGTAAGGAGCGTGGGTAGTTGACCAAAAGAGTGTGAGCCGTTGGTGGCGCAAGGAATGGCAGTGTGGTGTGGTGTTGACGATGACGGCTTTAGCGAAGAGCTTCACTGTTGTTACCTATTATCAGTGGCGCAAGCGGCCACGTGGATAGCAACCGATTGCTCATTGTGCGTGTTTGGGGACGAGCGGTGAAAGGCCACTCATAATCTGAAGTGAATACTGGGAAGACGTCAGATCGTCTAACCGAGTACTTTGAAAATGGCCAGAGACTGGATGCAAGTGCTATATAAGTATCTTCAGTGAATGATTTTTGAAATGTTGAAATGTTGGCTCAATCTAGGACCAATTTATGAAAGACGATGAACGATGGTACCGCTGGATAATACTGAGACGATGACAGGAAATGGTGAACCATCGAAAGGTCGCAGTACTCAATCCGTGACTAAACGCATGACATTGAGATCGTTATGAAGGATGGTAGAATGCAGTAACACCTCCAAAGAATTTTACCTGGGTGCGAGCTGGATGTCGACTTGATCGTTCAAATTGCGGCTCATGCCCTTTAGGGGCCTGTTACACGTTGTGTCAGAATCAACCTCGGAAGCATGCTACTAAGAACGCTGTGACACTGAGGATATCATAAACAACACCCAAAACTCAATAATGGATGTCGGTTGTCTTGAGGAAGAGGAGAGAAAGAGGCTTGCCCTGGCTAGGGCCTTGGCCAATCACAAACTAGCCGTTGAACCCCGCTAAGCACCCCACGCGACTGCCAAAAGTTCGCGACGCTGTTTCTCGCTGTGAGACATTCAGCCATGGCGACTTCAACTAGCCTAGAGCAGCTTCTCACTGGTAAGTAACGTATCCATTCGTAGTGATTTCATGCTGAGACAAAGTCGCAGAGCTGCTCTCAATTTGGCACACTTATAGAGTGCCACTTCTCGTCGCCACGGTCGCCCTTGCTCTGATTGTGCGCTTGACGAGCCAATCTCGCAATGCTCGAGAGAAAGTGTCTGTCTCACCGGCGCCGGCTTCGCCTATTGAGGAGAAGAAGACTGTTGAACTCAGGCCTGAATGGCTTCCCGAGAACACCACTATCATCACACCCGCGCTGAATGTGGACAACCATGCGGAAGACGATACGAATGTCGTAGCAGCAGTGCCCAAAGTAAAGAAGGGACCCAAGACTGTCAAGGGCAGGAAGACACCAAAGAAGGTCGCGAAGCCAATCATCGACTACAACCACACCACAGACAAGATTCAGCCTTTGGTCTTCTTCCAGTCGGTTACCGGTACTACCGAGAGACGTGCTACTCAAGTCGCGGAACTCCTGACCTCGTGGACAACTGGCTGCGATCAGTCTGCTTCCTTTCTACAGCCTCAGCTTCTCGATCTCTCGAACATCGACTACGACGACTACTTCATCAACGCACCGAAAGCTGAAGTGAATACGAAGTTCTTCTACCTGATCCTCGCACCAACCTACAACATCGACACACTGCTAGATGCGTTCATCGAGAACCTCAGCGAGACACACAATGACTTCAGAATCGACACGGCATCGTTGAGCGGTCTTCTCGGATACTCAGTGTTCGGTTTTGGAGACAGGGAGGGATGGCCATCAGAAGAGGAGGGTTTCTGCACACAGGCAAAGGAAGTCGACAAATGGATGGCTAGGCTGACTGGCAGGAAGAGAGCATACCCCCTTGGTATGGGAGACGTGAAGAGTGATGCTGAGGACCGTTTGACAGAGTGGCGCCTCGGTGTCCAGGAAGCGCTCGTGGAGATCGCTGAGGGCCGGGGCCTGGGCGAGGGCGTGCTCGGCAGTGGTGACGCTGTTGAGAGTGATGAAGAAGAAGTGGACGACGATGACAGTGGCGAAGACACACCGCGCGTGGACGATGTTGAGGACCTGGGTGGAATGGCCAACGGCACCGCAGCACCCATTCCGGTCGACTTCACGAACTACAAGGGCAGATCCAAGGTCAATGCTCCCAGTGCGCCGAAGCAAATGGTTCCCACCACCTCTCCTACGCACGCGGCACTTACGAAGCAAGGATACTCCATCATCGGCAGCCACAGCGGTGTGAAGATCTGCCGTTGGACCAAATCGGCGCTACGAGGACGCGGCTCGTGCTACAAATACTCGTTCTACGGCATTGCATCGCATCTTTGCATGGAAGCCACACCTTCGTTGTCATGTTCAAACAAATGCGTCTTCTGCTGGCGGCACGGCACGAACCCTGTAGGCACGACCTGGCGATGGGTGACAGATGCGCCTGATGTCATCTTCGACGGTATTACCGCGGCACACTACAAGAAGATAAAGATGATGAAGGGTGTGCCAGGTGTGCGGGCGGAGCGTTTCGCAGAAGCTATGCGCATTCGACACTGCGCCCTCTCGCTTGTTGGAGAGCCCATCTTCTACCCGCACATCAATGACTTGTTGCGCTTGATGCACAAGAACCGCATCTCCACATTCATGGTTTGTAACGCACAGCACCCTGCACAGCTGGCGTCACTCATCCCTGTCACTCAACTGTACGTTTCGATCGACGCATCGAACAAGGAGTCATTGCGCAAGGTTGATCGACCGCTGCACCGCGACTTCTGGGAGCGATTCCAAGCTTGCCTCGACATCCTTCGAACTAGACGATTCGAGCAGCGCACAGTCTTCCGCCTGACTCTCGTCAAAGGCTTCAACATGGAGGAAGAAGTCAAGGGATATGCCGACCTCGTTGAACGGGCACTCCCGTGCTTTGTCGAAGTCAAGGGTGTGACGTACTGCGGTACCAGTGCTGCGGGAACAGCCGGGCTCACGATGCAGAACGTGCCTTTCTACGAGGAAGTAGCCGAGTTTGTACAGCTTCTTGAGCAAGAGCTGAACTCGCGTGGGCTGTACTACGGTATTGGAGCTGAGCACGCACACTCATGCTGCATTCTGCTCGCGGACAGTAATCGGTTCAAGCGCAACGGCAAGTGGGCTACAAGGATTGACTTTGAGAGATTCTTCGACCTGTATGAAGGCAAGGTCGAGGGCACGAGGATGGAGGAGGGCAAGGTAGTGGGATGGAGGCCAGAGGACTACATTGGCCCAGACACACCTGAGTGGGCACTTTGGGGCAACAAAGGCTTCGACCCAAGGGATCAAAGAGTCGATCGTAAAGGCAGGCCTAAGACTGAGGAGGAAGCAAGAGCAAGTCCTATGCAGAAGGCTGCTTTGCGACAAGCAGCTCTGGAGTTTTGATAGCCAGCAATATCAAGTGACATATTCGAAGCACATTTCCCATTCTGCTTGGGACACATTGAAAGCGTGAAGAACGAAGTGCAATAAGAAGTCTACTCGCAGACAAAACCTGGCGGAGAGAGTACTAATCTGGTGCAGGATTTCGAGGTCGAGCCGATACGCAAGCCAGGTCATCCCGTCTTATTTTCCGAGGCCCCTCAGCAGGCGGTCAACCGACTGGTGGTGACCAAATTGGCGGCGATTGCGGGACGCCTTCTATTGCTCCGGCGCGGTCGAGATTGGCGGCGCATGGGTGAACCCGGCCCTTGCAGATCACCAGATTTCCCGTAGCCTGGCGCAAGTTGAGGAGCTGCAGGTGCTGAAGCTGGCCAGGCAAGTATTGCGCGCTTTTCACCGCATGGTGTTGTGCTGCAGAGTAATATTTGCAGTGACGAATGATTTGCAGAGCTTAAGGGGTGATCTACAGGCGCGTCTCAGGGCGGTTAGCAGGGCAGACGCGAGTGGACGCGCGACAGAGTTCACAGACACACTTTTGCCTGCGTCTGAGCGCTCGGTACATGAATGGCCCCCCTAATGATGATGAGCATCCGACTTTAAGCCAAATCAATCGCACTCTGCCCAAGGCCCCCCTTGTCTGACCTCCCTCCGGTTCACGTCGCACAGTCACGCCCGTTGCATGCGCCCGTCTCCTGCAGTCTCCCAGCGAATAGTGCATCCAGCGGAGTGACCACATGGTTTGCATGTGCTATTCACGTCGCGCTCGACACGCCGGCGCCGACACATGCAACTGCGTGAGTGACATTCCAGCGGCCCCACGCCCATAGCCGCCTCCCATAGTTCTGGATTTTGGGCGGCCCAGCGTTCCAGACAATGGACGTCGACAGCCAGCAACCACCGGCTGCAGGTGCTCAGGGAGCTGCATACACGAACAGGGTCCCCGCCGAGCACGCGCTTGATAGTCCGGCGAACCAGGCGAACCAGGCGAACCAGGCCAACCAGGCCAACCAGGCGAACCAGACCTTGCGGTCGCGCCGCAGAACATCGCTGCCCTCGTCTACCAAGAGCTCGACGCTCTCTGTGGACACCAGCACGCGGCCGTCGAAGAAGCGCTCGCCCAACTACATCCGCACACAGGCTGCCTCGCCCGAGGTCATCTCGTCGCTCATCGACCAGCTCTCCGCCATCTCGGCTTCCACCCAGAGCCATTTTGAGAACCTGCCCATTGGCTACGGAACCAGCGCCTCGGTGGCTGTCAGCCCCAGCCCGCACCTGTCCCGGAGCAGCAAGACGTCGGTCGCGGGCCACAATGGCAGCGCTGACGACCGCTCGCCCTACTACAGCGCCATAAGGGACCAGAACGACCTCTACCCGGACGACGCATGCGAGCCGCCCGTCATTCGCACCTCGAAGCCACCCTCGGGACTGTCGCCCATCACCGCACCACCCCAGACACGCAAGGACAAGACGCACTCGCTCAGCAGCTACATTGGCCGCAGCGGCGGAAGCTCGGCCTCGATACACTCTTGCCACTCAAATCGCTCCTCGAACAGCTTTGGTAACATCAGCATTGAGGCGGGCCCAATTGCCTCCAAGCCTGTTACGGCTGGTGGAGGTGGCAGCAACAGGTCGTCTGCCGAGAGCAAGAGAAGCGTCAAGCGGCCGAGGAGTCTGATGTACATGAGCTCGCGGGAGCGCCTAAAGCAGAAAGAGACCGACGGTCGCAAACGCTTGGAGGAGACGGCATCGCCAGACTCCCCGCGAAAGCCCGCATCGCAGCTGTTCCCGTACGAGGATACGATCAAGGAGGAGCCAGTGACGAAAGAGGAGCATGAGCCGCTCGTCATCGCCGAATCCTCGAGATTTGCGCAGCGGTACCCGAGCAGAAGCTCCAGTCCCGCACGTCGTATACGCATGAACTTGGTGGATGGGCCAGACGGCGAAAGTCCAATCGAGCAAGGCCTAATTCCAGACCGAAGCTCGTCCTTGAGACACGGCAGTCCATCGAAGAAGAGCAAAAGGAGAAGTTCTAACAAGCACAAGGACAAAGGAAAGGACGCCGAACGACCAAAGACGATTGCAGTCACGGTACCGGAGGAGCCAGCAACACCCGAGATGGATCCAGAAGAGGCGCGAAAGCAGAAACTGCTGATGGAGTTGGAGCAGGAACAAAATGAAGTTGCGCGAAGAATCAAGCAACTGAGGGAACAAAAGCTTTTAAGAGACAAGATTGCTGGAAAGCTGCCTGCAGATAGTGATGCAGGTGCAGGGGCTGCTGTGGTCAAGCCTCATGTTTCAGGACTCCCGAGCCCTGAAGACTCGCCTACATCAATCGTATCACCCACGTCGGAAGAGCGAGATCAGGATTACACAAAGGCGCACAAACTTCTGGGGGTTTTTGTGCCACCTGTTGGGCGGTCCTCGACGGAGAGCAACTTAAACAAGCCTCTACCGAGCATCGGACCGCGAGAGCCGACACGACCAGCGCCTTTACCGCCGCATCTGCGACATTCGCGACACAGAAGCTTGACTGTGAATGACGGCGATGATCTACTACTGCCGATCAACTACGCTCTGGCACTCAAAAGCTTGGACTCATCAGCGCCAAACTCACCACGAACGCCTCGCGTGGACTCCACGCACACGGCTCTGCCTCCACCTCCAAGCATCAGCGTTGCGTCTTCCCAAGGTACGGGTTCTAGCAGAGACGGACTCCAGCGATCTAGTTCCCTTTCAGTTGGCGGAAGATCTGCATTTGGGCGCAAGGCAAACAGCTTGGTAATGAGTGGGTCGAAAGGCCACAAACACTCAGCCAGCCTGACCGAGGAGAGACCGCCTGTCTTGCGCTCTGGCAGTGAGGAGATCTCCTCAGGGCGGCATTCATCACTCAGCATGACATCAGCCTCGAATAGCTTCTCATTGCAGCAAAAGAGAACACTCAAGAAGAAGCGATGGTCGCACCCTGACTTGCCAGCTAAGGCGGAGAAGGCTCACAATAGCAAAGTGGATGCAGCGGAAGCGGCAGAAGCAAGAGCATCACAATACCCGGTAAACCCCTGGAGTCCAGTCATAGAGGAGCGACCTACCTCTTTGGACTCAGTGGACATGGATGTGGATGCATACTTGCATTCACCAAGACTATCGCAGAAGATACGACACCCACAAACAGGGAGGATCATATCGTTTTCGGAGGTTGGCGATCCTAATGGCTATGCGATCTTTGTGTGCGTTGGCATGGGTCTGACGAGATTTGTGATGGCCTTCTACGACCAGCTTGCTGTGACGCTGAAGCTGCGTTTGATCACACCAGAGCGTCCGGGAATTGGAGGGAGTCAAGTCGATCCCAACGGGACTCCACTGACATGGCCTGGTAGGTCCCGAGTTTTCATCATTCAAAGTCACGAACGCTAACAGCTTGTAGACGATGTGCTCATCATATGTCAAGCCCTGAAGATCACCAAATTCTCGCTGCTGGCTCACTCGGCAGGCGCCATCTACGCTCTTGCAACATCGTTACGGATGCCACAACACATTCGCGGACGAGTGCACCTCCTCGCACCCTGGATCCCACCATCTCAAATGGCGCCGATTGGCATCGGCCGAGACTCACCGCCTACCCAACAACTCCCACGATCACAACGCTTCCTCCGCGCTCTCCCCGTCTCCCTTCTCAGAGTTGCAAACTCCACCTTCCTCAGCGGCACAAGCGCCTCCCTCCAACGCACAGGACCCACGAAAGCCCCCAAAACACGGCGGAAGAGCATAGCACCACAGACCATGAACCGCACCGAAACGCCACCACCGCGACCATTGCTGAAAGACAACCGGCGCGAGTCTATGCTGATGATGGACCGAATCCTCCCCAACGCCAGCACCCTCACCCTAACCGTATCCAACACTCACGATCCCGTAGCCGAAAAAGCACGCCTCGAAGCCCTTTCCCTCGCTGAACGCGAACGCCAACATGCCTTCGATGAGCGTCTCACGTTTGCAATCTGGGACCGCGCAACCGCCAACGCGAATCCGGCCACTGACCTCATCGTCTGTCTCGAGACCAAGCAGACCATCGGGTTCCGCTATGAGGACATCAACCGCCCAGTCGTCATCCACCACGGCAGCAAAGACTCGCGTGTGCCTGTGGATAATGTACGGTGGCTGGGCAAGCTGATGCGGAAGTGCGAAGTCAGAATTTTGGAAGGCGAACAGCATGGTCTCATGGCGAGCGCACAGGTCATGGGGAACGTGTTGACTGAGATGGCGGGCGATTGGGAGGATTGGACGGCTGTGGTGAAGCAGGCGAGTGTGTCTGATTTGAGGAGTATGGTGAGGCGGAAAGCCAGCTACGCCTAAACACCTACAACCTAGTGAAACCTGAAGTCTGGAAGAATTGGGACTGAAGAGACGGATTAGAAGCAACAACGACACTCCCTTGTACGACTGAGCGAGCGAGCGAGCCATGCACGCAGCTCTTGGCTCGAGATACGGCCGACCCAGCGAGATTTTAAGGCCGATTTGATCTCTTTGGTCCATCTCTACCCCCTTATATTGTCTAATTTTGCCTTTCCTTTGTCGCTATACCCCCTGTACATACTAGATCGGAGATGGATAGGTTGGCATGTGGGTAGATCTGGGCCATGATGGAGGGCTTGATCGCAACCTGAATGAATAGTCAATTCACAAGTTGGACGATGGATTTCATGAAAGTGTTAGATGTCATGGTGAATCACGCATACTGGTGGACTTGCGCATATACTGTTGATTGATCTATACGCTAATCCGCAGCAAAGTTACATCGAAGGATTAGGCGTCCTTCTCGGCCTTATCCAATAGCCGCTTCAAGATAGTCGCTGTGCTCCTCATGCCCTTCAGTGCATTCTCATCGGGCCCTTTACCAGCTACGAACGTTGCGTGTGCGAAGTCGATCAGCTTGGCCGCTGCCAGCTTTGGCACAGTCTCGTCTTCGTCCTCCTCATCTTCTGTCTCGGGCCGTGCCGATCTGAGCACCTTCTTTGTGTTCTCATACTCGTCCACATCACCTTCATACACGAGCAAGATACTCGCACTGTACATCCTGCTCTCCTTGGCCTCAAACACTTCCTGAATATCCTTGACTTCGCCAAGGAAGTACGCAAGCACCTCCCTGGCCCTAGCCTTCTCAGCCTCCGACTTCTGAGGGAAGAAGGCGTTGAAACCCTCGTCAATATCCTCAGCACTAAACTTTCGCCCATACATCTTATTGTACGCCCAGTAACCCCCCTCCTTATCCAGCTCGACGTACTCTCTCAGCTCTTCAGGCACTTCGGGCGGAGACGCACCAAGCCAGGTCCGCATACCTGCTATCCTGAAGCCTAAACTTCCACTTGTCGTCTCAGCGCTCACTTTGTCGAGTCGTGCGCGCTTCTCGGGCTTTGCGTTGTCGTCCCATAGCTGTGCGCCAAGTTTCAGGTCTAGGATGTTGGGCTTCTTGAACCCGTGTGTGATGTTCTCGAGAACGATGTGTAGGTCGGTAGCGAGCTTTTTGCCATGGAGTCGCTCGGTGGTGCCGTCAGAAGTCTGGATGGTACCTGTGTCTTCGGAAACATCAGATGCAGAGTCGAGGGATAGTTGGCCCATGAAGATGGGTAGGTGGGGGAGGAGGTCGGGGTGTGAGCTGGCTACAGTCTCGTAGAAGGAGATCTCAGCAGCTGTGCATGGCTTGACCACTATGGCGCCAGATTCGTCGCTGAGGACGCCATCGCTGTGAAGCAGGTCAGTATGAGTGAGGCTGAGTAGCCTGAGAGTGCTTACTGGCCGGCAGCCGCGTTACCGAACACTTGTAGCTTAGAAGAGTCGAAGGGTTTGATTGCCATGTTGATGAATGTGGAACTCAAGCTTGAAGAAGATATGGCAGTGTAGAAGCTGGCTGTGTTCGTGTGGCTGGTGTTGAAGATGCGGAGTTGTTTGGACGAGCAACAGCAGTGAGACAGCGAGTCAGGGTGGGCTGATGACGCCAGAGAAGCGACTCAGTCGCTCCAATCTCCAGACACCCAAGGTCAATCTTCATCCCAACTTCATACACCTCAAAACCCGTCATGCTTTCCAAGTTGACTGACATGTGGGCAGTATCAGACTGCTGATGTCAATTGCAGATGCTTGTCCATCGACCATCGACTGAGAGGCCTGAACAGGCCATTTCAATGACCAAAAGGCCATGATGATAGCAACCAAGAGTTGCAAGGCTTGTTCAACATGGACATTCACTCTCTAGGCCATCAGAGGATAAGACTGTCGATACGTAATACACTCTTTGTCGAAGTGACTGCCGGGTTGACACCGCGGATTCGATTTCTCACCTGCAGCTCCATGAAAGCAGGTACCCGCCATGGCCGTTTGCTCTCTTACCCAACCTGTGATTTTCTCATCAACGTGTTCATTGACGCCTTCCGCTTTCTCACTCCTTCTCTCCCTTCTCTACTCTCATATAACAAACATAGAACAGCTGTCATGTCAACAGAAGAACACACAAGCTTCAACTTTACGCCAGAGGTGCTGGCACAGGCACAGGCAGAGGCTGCATCTGCGCAGGATGATCATCCGGAAGGCGCGACTATCCGCCGACAGGTAAGCCCAACACCAAGAGCTTAAGCCTTGAGGTAACATACTGACACCAACAAGGTCGAATTCTACTTTTCTGACGAGAACCTGCCCACAGACCTCTATCTTCTTCAGCAATGTGGTGGACGCGAGAACATTCCAGTGTCTATCAGTCGCATCTGCAGCTTCAAGAAGATGAGATCCTATAAGCCCAAGTCACTCGTTGTGGCTGCTCTCCGTAAGAGCGCGTTCCTGGAGGTGTCCGCCGATGGCAAGACAATCAAGCGCAAGATCCCTTTGCAGGGCAAGACGCTCCTCGACGAGGACTTCTGCAAAGAAGACAACGAGATTGCTTATGACCCTCGTACTCGCAAGCCCGCCGTATACCCAGTCCCACTGCAGCCACAGCAGAAGAAGGTCTACCCAGAAGGCACATCCAAGAACATGCAGAAACCCACAGGCTTCGAAGACAGCTATGTCGAGCCAGCCATGAAGCCAGAGGAAGCCGCAGAAGAGAACAGGATGTATGACGAGGACAGGCCGTTCGTCGAACGCATCGAGATCGCCATCCAGCGCTTCAAGCAGAAGCGACGTATGCACGAGATGTATTCTAAGGTGTTCAACAAGCTCATGCGCTACGGTGGTATCGAGTCTGGGCCTCGAATGTACCAGGGGCTCTCGAAGACAGAGATGAAGGATATGGATGCTGAAGAGATTGCGCGAGTTCTGGCTGTTCACAACGTGCCTTGGGATCGTGCGGATGAGAAGCAGTGGACTGTCGACTTCCTTGGTGTCGGCGAGGCCTTCTTGTAAGTTTGACCACCTGAGAGATTTCTTTTGGCACCTGTACTGACAATCACAGGTCTTCCTGGTACCCTGCGCATTACGGTTATGCTCCAGGCGGCGTCAAGAATGCTTGCCAGGTCCTTCGGTCTTTCTACAACTACCTTCGATACCACCGAGTCTGCCCAGAATATGACGAGCAGCTTCAGGCAGCTCTCAAGATGTGTGAAACAGCTGAACGCGAGCTAATTAAGGTCGACGCTGCCGGTCTTGCACTTCCTGGCGACTTCAACACGTCTGCGAGTACCTTATTCGGTGGATCGCATGCTGGACTTTTCACTGGCGACAAGACTTGGGCTCAGGACGCGCAGAAAGAGGGTATTGATGTTAACGAGATCGGTGTTCGTGAACAAGAAGCGCGCATCAAGTTCAGCACAGGTATTGCCGCCTTGGGCACAGACGAGCAGCAGGATCTTCTCGGCGCTACAGACCTGAAAATAGTCAAGAGCGAGTCGACTGGTCTTGAGGTCACCGCTATTAACTTGCCCGACGACATCACACGAGAGATATATTCTACGCAGAGCGAGGTCGTGCGGAACAAGCTCGGTCACCTCAAACCACTGGGCAAGCTTATGTGTAGGGTCTGGTATGCCGATGACTGCGACGAGTGGGACCTACCCAAAGATAAATACCCCAATGGAAAGCCTCACAAGGTAGACCAAGGAAGGGAATTCGAGTTCTGGGTCGAAGAGAGTGTCTTGAACGAATGCTTCATTGGCATGAAGATTGATGCTAGTGTCATCACACTTGAAGGCGGCATCATCATCTTGGACGAGGTCAAGCAGACGCACTGCAGCTTCTACACTTGGCTCCCGAACGAGCTCTGGATGGAAAACAAACCAAAGGAAGTGCGCTGGCGGGCAAAGGGTTTGCCGGACTATGAGAAGGTCGAGATTAACGGGGTCAACAAGGACAGTCAGGAGAAGGCCCAAGAAGATGACGAGTTTGATGACGAGTAAGTTCGCGGCAAGCTCGCGTGAGCTACCAAAGTCTACGCATTTGTATGGGGAACAATCCGGGGGTCGTGAAACAGGGGTTTGGAGTGTGCTCCGATATTGCCCGCATGGAGTACCTGAGGTTACAGCCTCCACAGGAATGGTGCTTTTCAATGAGGATTACAAGATGAAATGCAAAGGTTCAACAACAGTCCCTTCGATCTCACGATGCACAAGGAGTTGAAGACAGCCCGGGTCGCACTTGACAAGAGCGGTTTAGCTCCCCCGCGCAGTTCATCGATGATCGACAGATCACTTCATCTGGGAGAACATATGCTCTGACCATCTTTCCAAGCCACATCAAACATCTAAACACTTGACCGTACGGATCGTACGGCAAGTTTGGCCGATCTCTTTTCGTCTTTGCCTGCGTATTGCGCGTATGTCCTGTGTGCCCACTGGGATGCAGCCTCCCGCTCACCGTTACGAGACTGCCCGTTGTGGACGGCAAATTCGAAGCCGCGCACCCTCTCGTAATATCAAGCAGATGCCAATGTTGATGAGCGAACACAATATCACGAGCCGTGGGATGGAGTCGGCCAAAGTGCTGAGCAACTGCGTCCAAGGTGTTCGGCCGCTCTTGGCTCAATGGTTGCGTTGAAGCTCCCATCGAATCGCACAGCTGAAGGAGAAACGGGCTGACGATCCTCCGCTACTTCCACCGTTTCTCTTTGCTCATGTCCACCGGTGTCTGCGCGGCGTTTTGCTACCAAGGCCGGCACGGAGCGCGCCAACTGCAAGGCAGATCGTTATTTGACTCCGACAAGCCTGGGCGCCCAGAACGCCGCGCCGCACGTGCTAACAACTTGGACACAGAGCTGCCTGCATCCAGCTTGGAGATGGGATTTTGTATGTACTGTGGTCTCAATCACAAGCACAGTCCTGCTGATTGGGTAGGTGTTTGAGTACAGCAAAGTCACAGGCGCAGGTCTGTCAAGTTTTCTGTTGATTGCATAACAGGCGCAGCGGAATCTGCAACTCAGACTTGCCTGGAGCAACCTTGAACGCGCATCCGTTACCCGTAGTCTCGGCGTCCGCTCTGGCGCCAAGTCTTGCCCTCCACGCTCACAGAAAACATGATGCCGCCGGGTCCCTTCGCCTTTTCTTAGCCATGCTGTTGCGGGTCCCTTGGTCTTCCTCTCCGCTCTCTTACAAGACTATGCTGCCGCCGCCGCACAATCTGTGGAGTCTAACGTCCTGGCCATGAGCGCGACAGCGTCGACAATTGTGGCAAAGGATATACTGCACGCAAAGACATAGCGGAACGATGTCTGGGATGGACCGAAGTGTGATTGCGCTTCTAGATTCCCGCGCTGTGGACTTGCCAAAACGAGCGGCTGCCGGGTATAGTGAGTCTACCTCAACCTCATCTCTACCACAATCCCATGATGGGGCGTCGAGCTTTGCAATGCAGCTAACACCATCCAGCCCATGGCGTCCTCAACCCATACATCTACGACCCCTCGGTCCCTCTTGCCAGCGTCGGCGCCACAGTCATCATACTAATCTCCATCCTCTCCATCTACCAATATGTTCGACACCGAGCATGGTTCTTCTGGGCGGCCATCATCGCCATTCTGATGCTGGTGCTCGGCCACGTCTGTCGGCTTGTTTCTTCTCTTGATGAGTTTGAGGATCTTCCCTTCCTCTTCTCTTGGCTCTTGATCCTGCTTGCACCTTCCTTCCTGGCTGCCGCCTGCTATACCGCCTTCTCACGTGTTGTGTGGTTCTCTTGCCCGACGTACGCACTCAACTTCAAGACGCTGTGGTGCTTTCCGAGATGGATTACACCAACGTTCGTCATCTTCGATCTATTTTCTTTCCTCATCCAACTCGTAGGCGCCAGCCAGATCAGCCGGCAGTACGACAAGGACTCGTCACCATCACGCTCGATCGAGGAATCAGAACGCGAAGCACTACCCGGACGCGTGATCCTGATCCTCGGCCTGGTGTTGCAAATGCTGTGCTTCCTCTCCTTCAGCATCATCAGCGTGCGTTACTTCGTAATCTCCCGATACTGGCGCGCCTTTGACCTCGGCGACATGAAGCTCTGGCGCAAACTCAGCTACACCATCAACTTGTCCTCCGTTCTAATTGCCATCCGCGCCATATACCGCACCATGGAGATTCCACATGACAAGGAGTACGGACTCATCTACCTGCAAAGTCATGAGTGGTGTTTCTGGACGTTCGATGCGCTGCCAATCTTGGCGGTGTTGATTGTGTTTGCGGTTTGGCATCCGGGTCGCTATCTGCCGAGAAGCTATACTGGGTTGAAGCTGGACAAGGTCAGAGCGATGAAAGAGAAGGATGAGATCTCGAGTATGGCGGGTGGACAGCAAGAGGCGGAGCTGAGGGATCTCAAACCTGAGGACTTTCAGACTCGAAGGCCTGAAGAGCGAGTGTGAATTACTATCATCCACAGATAGCACAGTTCCTACGAAGAAGGGCATGGTTTAACGAAGGTAAAAATGGCGTTTCACGGTTTCTGGGAGGATATGTTCGATACCATGCATCCAGCGGACTGGCGTTATGGGTTTGCTTTTGGAGATACCTTTACTTCACGTGAAAGTCGTATAGTTATGGAAAATGAATGGGAACGAATCGATTTACAAGTTGCCTTTACCTGAACTCAGTTAGGGCCAACGATACAAGACTCTATTGAACGTTTGTTCTTTACCTTCATTTCTTGTTTTACAACACTACGATCCGCTCCAAGCATCTTACCCACCGCCCACTTTCCGCTCCCGTCTCCTACCACGAACGCAAGCTGACGCTCACGCGCCGTCATGGCAACCTCCGTGGCTTACACATTGTGCGACCTTGCCGACTACGCACGTAAGAGCTTTCCGGATGCCTATGCAATCATTGCAGATCCGGACTTGTATAACTTCGTGTAGCGCACACTCGTGCCCAACCACAACCCTACCCAAACTCTTCTACTCGCAAAAGTGATTGACCAAACTGAGCACTATCGGAAGCCAAAAAGGCTGAGGGGATTGACTTCCGCAACTTGCGTGCACCCTTCTGCTATGTTACAGGCGATTCTTAGCTACCTTTCAGCACGAAAGATAAGTTAAAGCAAGAACTAGCACGGCTTACTTTGCTTGTTGAGTTTGTCTGCGTGTTGACTGGCAATGTTCCTGGTTGGACCGACGGCTTGAACCTGCTTGATCAGTTCAAGGCTCTGTGCGAGCATATTCAACAGAGCAGGGAAGCTGAGGATGTTTCGAGGAAGGCGCCTGTGACCAACTCGAATGGAGCAAACGTCCATGCTGTTGGTGAGGAGCATCAGAAAGTGGATGCAAAAGCGTAAGAACAGAATTTGCAGCAAGTTGAAGCCGTGGAGTCGACCGCAGGTAAACCTATCCAGTCAAGTCCAGTTAGCTCCAACCCCTCAAGCTTAAAGCGATGTTCATGCCAGATGAACGATCAGCCGCCTAATATGGACAACGAGCGTAACTATCCAAATACCACTTCGTACGCCCATAGCGCTGACACAGACCTTGAGATTCCAGCAAAAGTACCAAACTCGTACGTTCAGCCTATTACACCGACTGTTGCCCGCCACTGACCTCCTGTAGTTCGAAGATGCATCTAAGCAGCCCCGCAAGTTGACTGAACAGCTTGATAAATGCAAGTCGACCGCCGAAGCAAAATTCGCTCAAGAGACAGCAAACAGGTTGACGACCTCCAGGTCCAGCTCGCCGCACAGACAGCCCAACTTGCAGACCAGGCCTCGAAGACGAAGGGAGCTGAGAACAAACTGGCAGACAAGAGTCAGAAGCTACAAGCTGCAGAGAAGCTAACGGATAGATTAGATCAGAAGACCAAGGGTTTGGAGAAAGAGGGACATGAGTGGAAGAAGAAGTATGAGGAGCTGGAGAGGGAAGGTGGCGAGTAGGAAGAGAGGTATGCGCAGCTCAAGAGCGACATGAGGAGATTGTTAGGAAGGGATTGAATGACAAGAGACTCGCAAATGATTGAATTGAAAGCTTTAACTAATCAAGCTCGCATGCATGGATGGTCGATCTGTGATACTCCTCCTTGGAGTCCTTCTGCCCAATAGATTCACATGTGATAGATGGTAGACTTGAACGCGAGTAGGCGACGAGCAGGTTGGATTCGGCATTTAACCATTCAAACAAGCCATAGAGAAAGAGTCGAATAGCATGTAGAAGATGAGATGCATAGAACAAGGCAATTTTGGTTTTGGTGTTCCTGCTGGTTCAGTGTTCGTCTCATCTCAACCACCTGGTGATGCAACCACCACCAACCACCACGGATCGCGACCGATCGCCGCGGACAGGGGCAGACTGCTACACCCTGCAGACTTCTCCAAATTGCAAAATAGGGTAGGGTCTGTAAATATAGACTAGGCCGAAAAGGGTAAGACATATTTTTTCCGCAAGGTTGCGCGCACTGCCTACAAATACCCGTGTATTCACCACCGACATCCTTCTCCACCCCACTTCCACCGACTCACGTCCTTTCTCAAGGTCGCAAGTCACCGTCGCCGTTATGTAATTTTCCAAGCTTCTCGGGTATGTACATAAATTTTTCCACCCACTTTCTCACTAATACCGCCGCAGTCCTACGCAAAAGCGCTTCGCCTGCAAGCTTGACTTGCAACCTCTCGCAAAATATCGGCCCACGGCAGCAACTTGCTTGGCCGTCTGAGCCGCCGCGGAAGCATTAACATCCTAAATGTGTTCGAGCTTGTCAGCGACATTGATCTGTACTATTTTGAGCTGTGAAGCATTCAGGATGGAGCGACGACTGTTCAGCTTGAAGTACTCCACGTCAGATCTTTCGAGCCACACAGGAGCAAGGCTATAAGCAAGCCGCTTTTTACCCACACCAATGGTCCAGCTGTTCAATATTACTACGGTCATGGCGGCATGCCCACTCCGCTTGTCGGCGAGCTCTACCCTAATGCTAGAGACATCAAGCTCAAGGATGGTAACAATCCATTCGAATTGCTCACTCCCCAAAAGTGGTCAACCCGCAAGGATGGTAACGTTGAAACTTGCACTATGATCAGGGATGGTCTCACTTTCCTTGTCAAGTTCGCATTTCTTGCGACTAGACGTGTTGCCCGCCTTACTAACGTTGGTGATGTAGACCTGCCGGCTCAGTTAGAGATGCTCTGCCAGTACATGCATCGCAACAAGACCGATGCGAAGGGTAAGGGAAAGATGGACTCCACCAACGGTCAAGACGCTGCAAGGCCTGCGGGACAGCACCATGCTGTCATGGAGCCGCAGCCTTCGGGCTTTACTTCCTTGACCGCCGTCAGCACCAGGGGCACTAGCTCCAAGTGAGCTGGTCTGACCATGGACGTGAACGAGTACAATCTTCAAGGTAAGTGGATCAGTGATTTGGCAGGATATGCTCACTAACTACTATTCACGCCTCTCGCCTCTAAGGACAACACCACGCAAGACTCTGCACAGACATCGTCGCAGCTGTTCGAGGCTGTCGTCAAACAGCGGAAGGTCAAGGTGGAAGCAGGCTGGGTCCAGAATGACAAGATCCTTGAGGAAGAGTTTAAGGATCTCAAGGCACGCCCTGCTGATAAAGAGACGAAGAGGCAGAAGGCAAAGACCGAGCTCAACGAATGAAACAACAAGGACAAGAAGCAGACGAAAGACTTCCAGCAGTTCTTTGGTGCTTAGCTGCAGAAAAGAACTAGGTCTCAGGACCATGTCTGCGAGGCGATCAGGTCAGTTCAAGATCTTGTCAAGATTTTTCCCTGATGGTGGCGTGTCCGCAGGTACTTTGTAATAGTATTCCTTCAGCCTTAGTGCCACCATCCTGTAAGATTACTCTACGATTACCAGACCGCCACCATGGCTGCAAGGCGCAGCATACCTCAACTACTGCATAGCATTAGCTTCATCGATGTGCAAACGATCAACGTTGTTCCCACTGTCGCGCCTAAACTGGTGATGTCGTTTGAGGTTCAAATTCAGATACAAGCCCATCGTTATGCGGCACTGATTTTGCCAGACTATCCATTACCGTGTACAGAGTCATTTCAAGTGTTATCTCCAAGTCCAGTGTTGGTGTTTTGAAGCCTAGATTCGATTTCCGAAAGATAAGCGAAATGACGTCGCCGGAATTGAAGCCGAGGTCCCCACAACTTCACGGTAGCGGTTCCGCTCACGACGATAGCAACTTAGTGTGAGCTTGACTGGACATCACACGAGCAGTCTACAATGCTCCCTTCATTACAGCCGTCGCGGCCCAAGGTACGCCTCACCAAGATATGGTTATGCGCATGCGCTGATACAGTCGCAGCTACCACAGCACACTACACAACCAACTCACCAACAACGGCGCAGCACACACGAGCTGCCACGACCTCAAGAGTCCTCACAACAACAACCCTCATATTCCCCACCAAACTCTCAGAGACCATGGTCACAGATAGAAGCCATGCCTCCTGCTCGCACAGCGCCGTCCTTCCCTACACACAGTTTCTATGATGCTGCGACAAGGCATCCAGTGTTCTTCACGAACAATCTGAGGAAACCACCGTTTCCCATACCGCAGATGCCGAGCCAAGGATGGAATCCTGTCGCCAACGGGTACATACAGGAGAGGGAGAAAGCAACAGGCGGGTCAGGCACAAAACTATGATTCACATTAAAATCGTCCATTGGACAGCATCCACATCTTGCATATGCATCCACTCCTCATTCGGAGCTCGTTTGGTCTTCCGTACATTATCAGCCATTTCAGGAGCTAGAGCCTAGAGACGAAGCCTTAGCCTCTTGTATGGTTTTGGGGCGCCTGGCTGTTCAGCTGGCGCCAAGGTTAGCCTTAAACAATGCCAGCTTTACTGGCGGCAATAGCTTGCCAGAGTGTAGGTTCGAGGCCTTGAACCGCAGAATTGGGCCACAGCGGTCCACTTACCACGCTCGGGCATACTACCTGCATCTCGTCCGTCGCGACTGAAACAGATAGTCTGATTCTTAGCCGCAACCACGGCGCAATGAAGCCGGGCTATTCGAGGTTTCTGATCAGTCAGAATGTTCTGAAAGAAGTTGACGCGCCATGGCAGCCTACTCTAGGTTGGAGGGGATTGGTGACACTTGTCCATTGGAAGGAGTCTCAGAGTCGGCGGCCAATGTTGGGATGAGGGTCGAGGTAGAGAATTTGTGCTAGGAGCAATTCTGCTCGAAAGTACTCGGGAATTCACTTTGATCGTTAAGCAAAAATTGCTGGTTACTGTCGCTGTGCCACGTCAGGCCTATCTGAAGAATCGAACGATCGGATAGCCTCTTAGCGCTGTCAGCATAGCCATTCGAATGACGCTCACATCGCGACAAGTTACTTTGCGACCAATGTGCAGCCTTGCCTTGGGGATGGCTTCAACACCGTTCATACTCACGAGTATGTTGAGTCGAAGGGTGTTGCTTCTTCGTGGTGGATCGCAGTGGACTGTACCCCGGGTTGCCCACCACTTACCTACCTGGACAGTATAAAGAAACGAAGAGATGAGTTCGGTGAGTTTCTGGCTGAATATCTTCGGCGGCAGCTGTCATTTCGGTTGGATGCCCTGAACGCTTTCATGGGGATTTTGCGATATTTTTGGCAACAATCACAGCCTATTCATCATTTTTGGGGCATTCCTTTTTGGTCAGCGTCTGGAAAGGACCTCCTTGCTACACGAACCGGAAACTTCGTCTTTGCCAAGCATATATTGTGGTTATCTGTGCGCAATGCAGCGACAAAGCTTCTTACCGAAAGAACTGGGTTTCCTTCATGGACCTGGGCTGCTTGGGACGGTCTCATCTCAACGAGATTGTCATATGCCATGAAGCAACGACTTCCCGAGGACAGGTGCTTCGACATGAAGATCCGTGTAGAAGATCGTCTTGGGGTGTCACATCAGCATCTCAGAATACGTTCAATCCATGCAAAGCGACTTCAATCTGTACAAATTCCGGCGTTACCTGTTTCTTTCAAGATGGGTCACTGAAGCTCGCTTGCAAGCTGATGGGGAGCCCGACACTTTACAGGCCTATGATGAAAGACCACAAGTCTCGACTGCACGAGTTAAGGTCATGAACGTGCATTTACGAGATGAGCCTACCTGGATTACGGGTCGCCTGACCACTGGCACCTGGCCGCTTCCCCTTTTCGCAGGTCGAGACGGTAGTGATAGTTGCAATAGCGGTGATGGTTCCATGGTACGGGTAACAGGGTCACTACTCAATCCAACTATGGATAAGGGTACGTACCTTGGACTTGGAGTGCTGAATTGCTCTGATCTTTTCCAGCTAGAGAAGATGAACGGCAACAGCGAAGCGTGGCTCAGAAGGCCGAACTAGGCCGCCCTCGCAGGGAGTTGATTGCAAATGGCGGACGATCAAACTAGTATAAGAAAAGACAGCGAGGTACTGTAGTGTTGAACTATTGCGGTAATGTACCTACCTAGGTACTGTATCTACTCCGTCTATCACTAGTGATACAGCGGACAATGGGTCCGTGCACAGTACCCACTTTAATTATCAGCGGCCGCAATCGTGTATGATATCGAACCTCCACAATCTAAAGTCTAGTTCAACACTTGCGCGCAATACAGATACCGCTTGACCCTTCAGCGACTCCAAGCTTCCCAACAGCCCCTCACGTCGAGCGCCTCCATCACATCCAAATCGTCGACTCCCACACCACCACCATGGCCGGGACCGCAGGCATGCCTTTCGGCCAGGCACTCCTCCAACGCGCATTCTCTCCCGACACCGCCGCCATCCACTATAACGACCGCATTGCTAAGCGCCCGCTCCCAATCCGAGCAACCTCACCAACCCCGTCCGCCCGGGCAGCACGCCGACAAGCGCTCAACGAGCGCAAAGACAAGGCGCGGAAGCGCAACACACAAAAGCCCCGGCCACTCTCCGCAGCGCAAAAGCGCAAACTCGGACTCAACGAGATACCCAAGGAGCAGCAAAAGTACGCTATCTACGAACCCTTGAACAACCTCTGGCTGGGGTACATGCGCGAGATCCTTGGTCTGAGCTCAGTCTTGAATGCGAAAGTATATATCACGCCGTCAAGCGCAGGACAGATGCTCGCCAGCGCGGATATGCACGGCGCGAAGCTGTCTGTGGTGCGGAGTCGGTGTGTGAGTCGCGTTGGGTTGGAGGGGATCGTGGTGAGGGATACGAGGTATACATTTGAGATTGTTACGAGGGGGGATACGGTGAAGAGTGTGCCGAAGGAACATACGGTATTTAGGTTTGAAATACCGTTGACGGGCGGGAGGGAGGGGGAGGGGGACAAGGAGCCGCTGGTTTTTGAGATCTTTGGAGAGCAGTTCCAGACCAGGGCGCCGGATAGGGCGAATAAGAAGTTTAGGCTGCATTATCAGCCTGATCTGTGAAGGATTACAGGATATGTTGGCATATCGACAACCGCTTTGAACCTGAGCAGCCGCTTTACTACGAGGAACACATGACACAAGATACCAGGGGATTGGCATGCAGCGAGAGGATAGGCACTGGGCGTCAAGATCAACGCATCTTGCTTACACGCAAAGCGAGGATCTACTACAGTTGGTCCCACAGCCAAGCCCGGAACATCATCTGGCCTTCGCTGTCCAGCAATCCCAGCATCGCCATAACGGGTCGATGCAAGACGAACGAAAGGAAGTACAGAGCATATAGCATCCCAAAGAATGCAGCGTAACTGGGTATGCTCCGAATGGCGGACTCTTGGACACTCATAGCGCCACCGACATCGCGCGACGAGAGCTTAGGCTTCTAGTCCAGAGTGTATGGCTCCGCGCCCTTGCCGAATAGGAGGTGTGGTTTCCGCTTTGCGAGATCGAGGATGGTTTGCGCGAAGACGGAGTTCGCCCATGCGAACCAGGGTCCTGCAAATCATGAGCACTCAGACTCACCCACAGAGTAAAAGTAGAAGGACTTACTAGTATAATCCCTCGCATAATCCACATGAATACTCTCATGAATCAACCCATTCCGACTAACATTCTTCACGCTCTCCACACACCTCAAGATCTCCTCATCATCATCACTCGTCATAGCCTGCACAAGCACACTCATTGGCCACGCATGCTGCAGCCCAATATGCGGGCCTCCAATTCCACCAAAGCCAGCGCCTGTAAGGAAGTACGGGTTCCCTTGTTTCTCGAGGATCATTCTGCGCGTGTTCTTGTATACTTCGCTGTCTGCGCTTATGAACCCGAGGAGGGGTAGAGCGAGCAGAGAAGGAAGATTGGCGTCGTCCATCAAGATTGAAGAGCCATAGCCGTCAACTTCGAACGCGAAGACACGGCCGTACTTCTTGTGCGTTACGACGCCATGCTCCCAGACGCCCTTTTTGATGTTGTCGGACCAGATGGAGAGTTGGTCGGCGATGTGCTGTTTCCCTGCTTTCTTGAGAGTGTCGGCTGTGCGCTTGAGTTCTATGCTCATCATTGCATTACTGGGGATCAGGAAGCCGAGGATGGTGGCGTCATCGCTGGGGCGGAAGGCGGAGCGGATGAGTCCTGTGCCGCCCGCGAGGGGATTGCCGACGCCGCTGAGGGCGAGGGTTTCGGTTCCGATTTCTGTCCGGCGCTGGAAGGTGTATGTGTTCTTGTGGTAGGCGCCTGTCTTCTCGTTGAATGTGGGTTGGGATTGCTCGTCAAGGACAGATAGGAGGGTGTCGAGGGCTTGTAGCCAACGAGCATTTATGAAGGCGGTGGAGCCGGTGTGGTTGTAGAATTGATTGGACAGAGACAGGAAGTGAGCCAGCGAATCGAGCTCATATTTGCACTCAAAGACGAAGGACGCTTCGTACTCAGGGTGCACGACGTCGGCTTGATCTTGGAACGTCGGACTTAGGTCACTCGGCGCAGGAGGCTGGAAGGCGTTGCAGTAAGGCGAGCCGATGACATACTCAGCCTGTGTGTTGATAGCCCCCAGAATCAGCTTGAAAATCTCCTTGTCCTTCTTGGCGAGTGGTTGGTATTGCTGCAGCTGGTTCGTTGAGTCGCGTAGCCATTCGGCATTGATATCGCCAGTGACGATGAAGCTTTGTGGCCCAGTCCATGCGCCCTTCTCCCAGCTTCTCTTACCATACTTGTGCGATGGGGTATTGTCGACGTGCCACCGAACGGTGGTGTCCAATGTATTGGGAAAAGCGTTTTCGAATATGCGCGCGAGGTCCTTGTCGACCATGTTCTTGTTCATATCTTCAATGACCCGCTCTACTAAAGGCGATTCGAATGTGCGGCAGTACTTCGATGGTCTTTGAAATGGGAGCTCGAGTGGGCCTTCGCTGTACGGTGGGCTGGGGTGGTGTCAATACAGAGGCTACAAGGAGCGAAGCTGGGACGTACTGCGGCCGCATAGAATATTGCTTGTAGTCTGGACATGCTGCTCGATATTTGTTGGGATCTATAGCATTTCGGATGGGCTCTTGAATCCCGTCATCGTAGGTGGCAGCGACGAAGCTCGAAGATAGTATAGCCCCTAAGGACAGCGGCAACAATTGTGACTTCATAGTGAGAGAAGATCCCTCTATCGAGAATCAATCAGAGTAATAGCGACGATATATAACGATTGATGATATAGCGTGCTAAGAGCTATGGAATGCGAGGAATGGCGCGACAGCAATAAACGATGGCTCGGCGCAGAATGACTTCATAGGTCTGAGGGAACAGTGTTCAGTGTCGGTGCCTGACGCAGAGATGGGCCAGGCGATGTTGTTGTAAGATGCTCGACAGCTTCCCCGCGGTCGACAAGTGGCTTTCACGGAGGCCAGAGCGTTCAGCCAATGACGTGTGTGATTGCCCGCATTAGCGTGTCGCAACTTCGACCTCAGAACTCCAGAGCTCCCAGCTTCCCCTACTACACCAACTAACATACTTCCGCGTCCAGCAGCAACACGCAGTCACTCAATCGCAGACGCGAGATACTGCATCTATTACTTGAACTGGTTTCCGTGCACAGGGACTTCACCCTCGCACCTCCTCAGCATATCGCACGCGCCCACTCCACAAGCCAACGACGGCGCGCAACCCACCACTTACGGCTATACTGAGCTGCTGCGATTATGATATCATTACCAGGTCTCAACCTGGCCGCGCCGCCTACTGAGACCCTCAGCGTACCCACCTCGTCTATAACAAGAGAGCAAGATCTGCCCGCCAACACTGAATACCGCTTCGAAGTCAGCTTCTCACGCACACTTACTGTTCGTCTACGATCTGGTACAGCGGAGTACTTTGGCACAGAGCTTGCGCCCTCCACCACGTACAGCTTTCAAGGCACCAAGGGTGCGATATACACATGGCACGGCTGCAAGCTCGAGCTGGGTGGTCAGGTCGAGTCAGACTATGTCGCAGAAGAGACGCCCATGATGAGCCATGCGAACCTACACTTTGCGCTCGAAATGTTGCGAGACAGGAGTGTGGTAAGCAACAGCGTGGAGATGGGTCCTAGAGTCCTGGTGGTGGGAGCAGAGAATGCTGGCAAGACTGCACTGGTGAAGACTCTCACATCATACGCAGTCAAGAGCGGTCGCCAACCCATGGTGATCAACCTTGACCCACGACAAGGTTTGTTGAGCGTGCCTGGCTCCCTCTCAGCTGCGGCGTTCTCTTCCATTGTGGACATAGAGGAAGGTTGGGGAAGCAGTCCCATCTCCGGCCCAAGCCCTGTCCCAGTGAAGATGCCGTTGGTCTACCACTATGGGCTAAAAGACCCAGAGGAGGGAAAGCTGTTCAAACCATTGGTCACGCGCATGGCACTGGCCGTCACGAGTAGGCTGGAGGAGGACAAAGCGAGCAAGCAGGCTGGCTTCGTTATCGATAGCTCGGGCACTATCAGCGCTGGCAAGGCGGGGGTGTACGAGAACATAGAGCATATTGTTTCTGAGTTTTCTGGTGCGTGCAACGTGACGACTTTCATCACTCTTCAGACATCTTCCCCTTTCCAGACTCCTTAGCCCGAAGTATGCTTGACGTTACCTCTACCTGACTTTTATCACCACCCGCACAAACGGTCAGTCCTACTTGACTCAAAACACAGACTGACAAACCCACAGTGAACGTCCTCATCACCATCGGCTCCGAGCGTCTCTACTCCGACCTCTCCCGCAAATTCTCGAATCGCAGTTCCGACGAAACCGTCAACGTCATCCGCATCGACAAGTCCGGAGGTTGCGTCGACCGCTCCGAGGAGTACATGAAAGCACTCCGCCACAGCCAGATCCGCGAGTACTTCTTCGGCCATGGTGAAGACGCACTGGCGCCGAGCAGTATGACGGCCGACTTTGGGGATCTGAATATCTTTAGGGTTATTGAGAGTAAGTTCTCTTTCTCACAAATCTTCCCATGTCTTGGCGAGGTAGTGCCAACGATGGAGAGCTGACAGATATAGATGATGAAAGCGGTTTCGCCGCCGGCGACGCAGAAGACTACAACCCCGCCTCCACTGGCGTATCCATCTACGAGCGCATTACACCCTCTTCCACCTTGACCAACAAGCTCCTCGCCATCACGACCGCGAGTCCGAACGACAAGCACGAAGTCATCAGGGATAGTAGTGTGAGGGGGTACATCTACGTGGCGGATGTGGATGAGGCGAAGCGGAAGGTCCGGCTGTTGAGTCCGCAGCCGGGACATTTTCCGGGGAGCGCGATGGTGCTGGGGAGTTGGCCGGAGGATGTTGCAGGGTTGGTTAGCTGAGTGGATGGGTGTGGAAGGGTGGGGAAGACTGTAGATTACCTAATGAACAGCTTTTGAACTAGTATGACAAGTGTGATGTCCAATTTCCACCGCCCACTAATATACCAATTCCTAGTCATCTCCTAATAGCCTCTGCATCTTATCCTTCAACTTCTGATACTTCTCCTTCCACTCCCCGACCTGCATTCTTCGCCTCCTCGGCCTCTTTCCCCTTCTCAAGTAGCTGCCTCTCAAGCATCTTGATCTTCTGGCCTGAAGTCTCCTCCTCTTGTGCCCATATCTCTTCCAACTCGGTCTTGTACTGCTCAGTGAGTGTCACGAGGATGCTTTTGACCCGTGCAGATAGCTCTTCGACTTCGGATGAGTCAAAGGCTGTGGGAAGTATGCTGGGATGCCAGCGTGAGAATTTGCGGCGCTTGCTGGTGTCTAAAGTGAGTGTTAGTGATGGATTGTTCGGAACGGGGTGATAGTCTTACGCTTGGTTTCTGACACGGTGTGCTCATCTGAATCAACAGCAACTCGCTTGGAGCTTCTGACGACAATGCATCGCCTTGGAGAGTATCTGGCTGCATGTGCATCTTCTCGCCGGTCTCAGTCTCCGTATTCTCATCAGCTTCATCCTCCTGCTCTTCTTCCTGTCTCTTCCTCGCCTCCTCTTGAGCTTCCTTGTTCTGCTACATCAGCGTGCACAGATTCGCGAACTCTTGAAGCAAACCAACCCCGTCCTTGTTGAAGATGGAAGTGGTTCGCTTGGTCAGCAGAAAGACGAACTTGACAAGCAGAGCGTGCCTTCACCTCGTCCACGTGCGCGCAGTGACCTTTGCTTCTTGGACCACGTGAGCGGTACTACCAAGCGAAAGGAAAATACATGCTCCTGAATCTTGATAGTCCCCTCGTCTAGAAAGGGTTCTTTGGTGGGTCGAGTACCAGTTTCTGTCTTTCCGTAGTAATAGTGGACGTGATCGCCGCCAGAGTCCGCCCATACTTGGACGTTGTAGCGGCTATCGTTCCAGAACGCGGCATGAAGTAGCTCGTGCTCAGAGAACGTGCCATCTTCGGTATGAACACACGTGTTTCTGAACTTGTAGTTGCTTGAGTCGGCGATGATGTCGAAAGAGGATGGGCCTTTGTTGCGTGCGTAAGTCGCGAAGTCGTCCAACGTGTGTCCGTCCCTGAGAACCACACTAGGCCAGGGCGGCTGCCAATCCAAGGCAACGGACATGGCCAAAATGCTGCAGGCAGTGGCGTGGATGTGCTGTGGTTGCCAAGGCAAACTTGGCGGAATGATGATAAGTACCAACAAAGTTGTGTTGACAAGACGCGTCTTTGTACCAAAGCGAGACTTCTTGTACTTCTCGACGAGCAGTGTCACCTCAGAGGAGTCTCTGCGATAATAGGCAACGCCATTGCCAGTGGAGTGCGTCCAGATTGCCTGTCCCTCACTCCGGTGGTACTAGTGACCAATACATATCATGTCGACTTGCTGGACCTTCTCATTCTCGATGAAGAACACTCTTCTTTCAAAAGTGTACGCGGTGGCGTTTGCAATCCTGCTGAATTCGTCGTCGAAATTCTTTTCTGTATATTGCAAGAAATCCTTGACACTGTAGACATCTTTGGGCGCCATTGTGGTGGTTTAATAGCAAGAGCGCGAGTGTTGGTCGCTGTAGCTATGGGTGGTAGAGGCGGGCGAATTTGGCAGTTCTGAGGAGTGAGTAATCCGCCGATTAAGGGCTAGTCAGTGGGTGAGCGGGTGAGACGGGACATGCACTGGTGAAGGTGTAGGTGAGCGTGGCTCATCTGGCTACGGTCACGAGCATACTGTACGTCTTCGGAGAAAAAGTGTGTTTTGACACTAATGGTATATCAGAATCCACTGACTCTGCTCTTGCCTTTCTTCTTCTTCTTATCAGGTCGTCCACCAAACCGCCCAGGCTCAACTTGACTTTGCGGCACCATGCTGTGTACTCCACCAAAGCCTTCAAAACTACCTCCTTGACTTTGGACTTGACTTGGCATCTGGCTCGATGTCGGTACTGGTACCTGGCTACTGGCTGCCATGCCACCAAACGTCGGACCAGGTGAACTTCGCGGAAATGCGGGCTGCGAAAAGACTGACTGACTATTTGTCTGAGACTTAGCCCGCATCAGCTCATCTTCGCGCCTCTGCCGCTTCTCTCTTCGTTCCTTCTTCTTGCGCTCCCTCTCGCGCAGCTCCTGGCTCTTTTCGTCTGGCATCTCCGGTCGAAGTGCACGTTCTGTGGCCTCCCAGTCATACGTACTTGGGTCAGTTCCAGGATGCCAGTGCGACAGCAGTTCCGACACACTTGGAGGAAGGATTGTCGGCATCATCGATGACTCGTCATTGATCGTGAGATGCCTGCGCAGGCGTGACAACGGATCGCGCGTAGGAGGCCGGAGGTACTCAGGGAGTAATGGCGATGATGGCGGTACGGAAGATTGGGGTGGTGTTGGTAACGATGAAGGGAACATGTTCGCTGGCTTGGAAGGCAAGATGGGTAGTGGCATGGGATCACCTGAACCCACGTTAGGCTGCTCTTCTTCCTTTGGTCTCAGCTGCACGCTTGCTAATGAGACCTCAGCAGCGACGCGTCGAGCTAAACGTTCTTTGGCGTGTCGCACAGGAACCGGAATCTCTGCCGGCAGTGGTGCAATCCATTCCTGGAGAATAGCATCGTAAAGAGCCGAGATAGAAGGCCACTCGCTGTCGAGTAGGTGTAAGACGTGCACAGGTGCGATACGTCGCAGTAGATGCGAAATCTCGGGGTCAGTGTTTGCGAAAAGCTGGTCAATTCTCGATGACGCCTCGTCGATATCAGGCACGTCGACAGCACAATCATTGCTCTCCATGCTGTCTTGTGTTAGTGTATTGGCTAGCTCCAGCATCAATCCAGAACTTACATTTGTCGAGAATCCGGGCTGATTTGGTCCACGCTCATCATGGCTCGCAATTGTTCGATGAGTACCTCCACACATGTGCTGTTTGTCTGATCGCCATGAAGAAGGGCGTCATAAGTTGCCGTTTGATCCATTGATGCCTGCGCAGGAGGTCGGTCCGACGAAGAGACCGGCCGTGGCAATTGGGAGCCCAGCTTTGGCTCAGGTTCGGCGTCCCAATCAGGACCATTCGGCTCAACAAAGGCGTTCATCTCATCGGCTTCCGTCAATGCATCCAGTGAATGCTTGGCCACCACGATTCTTCTCCAGACAATCGGCTCGGGGTCAGGATCGTGTTCCGATGACAGCAATACAGCCTGATAGACACTCAAATCTGCTAAGACCAGGGTGAGCTGGTAGAACGGGATTGCTCTCTTGAGATACGATTGCGCGGAGGCATTCGACGGTCTGTGATGGGGCACTACTTTTGTCCCATATTCAAGAAGCTGAAGGTACATTTGGCTGATGTGGGTAGCAGCTGGCGACTCGAAATCCAGAGCGATTGGGTCTGAGATGGTGACAAGCGCAGGAGATTCCGAAGAATGATCTCGGAGGTAATAGACCTGGATAAGTCCATTCAAGCGGGATGTCAAAAAGATGCACGTTTCTGCTTCCACTTTAGTCACAACTCTGTATTTCAAGGGGCACAGGCATACCGTCATCCACGAGTGTCTGCACACTAAGTCGCAATGTGAGGTCCTCATCTCCCCGGTAATGTCTTCGAGATAACAAGATCGTCGCGCCAGCTTGATCAGCCGTGCTGTCAACCGCTGCGTTGGAGGTGGTCACTGCTACCAGGAACAGTCTAGAAGACGTCAGAACAAAGAAGCGGTTCTGGTATTGAGGATGTCTCTGAAGATCCAAAATCCAGTCAGTCGAACGCTGTGGTATGATACGCGGACCCTGGAGGTATTCAAAGGATTGTCCGTTCAGGCTGACCACACTAAATTGGCGCCGATTGCAGACGAGTAGTGTGTTGCTGTCGCCCGCCCAAGATATCCTTGCCCAGCCGTCGCCGTCATCCGTGATATCGCTTTCATGCAGTACGTCTCCTCCGAAAAGACGCGACACATTGTATTCGTCCTTCTTTGCCCTCCTCTCAATCTGCCAGAGACTCCATTTACACTGCTGGTCGACGATACCAAACTGGAACTGGTAATCTGGGTTGAAGGCGACGTCGGCGTGCGGCGCATCTCCAGTCTGTTCGAGTGTGATATTGGAGATGGGGCGCGCGGAAAGGAGGGATGGTGGTAGGACGTAGTGAGGTGATGGTTCGGCTGCTCGACGACCTCTGTGGTACGAGGGGCGGAAGAGTACTGTTCTGGAAGGCAATCGAACAGCGAGAAAGCTGTTGCTGCTCTCGTCTTGCGCAAAGCAGACCTGCTGAATAGGCGACGCCTCCTCGTTCCAGTAGCCACTGTCCACAGTCTTGAACGATGGCCCGCTTAGCCATACAGAATTATCGCCATTCCAACCCTGCTTTTGCCGCCCCAGTAACACCAAACGTAAAATGCTACCGGAAGGTCCAGTAGGCAATGCAGCGATTCGTTTCGGTCTTACGAATTTCTTCAGGTAAACAGTGCCGAAGGACAATAAGTCGCTGACGCAAGGGTCATAGGTCCTCGCTGCGGACGTTACGGCATCAGAAACGGCGTTGAGCTCTGGTAACTGCTTTGTAGCCGGAACAAGCGATGGGTGGTTGTGGACGAGCTGTTTGGCATCTTTGCGGGCAGTTGTCGCATTCGTTGAGGTCCCAGTAGGTAGGGAGTCTATTGCTGCAGGTACTGCTAGCTGCCACTCTGAAACTTGCTTCAAGGTTTTCGTAGTAAGATGTCTAGAAGTATTCCATTCGCGGTTGTCTAGATCATAAGTCGTGAGACCGGGCCGGCCATAGTTCAGTTCATTGAGCGAACTGTCAGCCATTTGGACTGATTTGAGGTTTGCGATCCGTAGTGGTGTGAGACGATCGAATCATGCTTTGGAATGCTTCGTTATCACACGAGGTCTGTTGAGGTGAAGACAGAACGCGACTTTCAGATTTGAACGCGTAGGTGAAGAAGAGAGGTGCATTGCTCATGTGGGGCTCGAAAGTTGAAATCACGCTAAGGTTCGCTCGCACGTGCCCGTTGCGGCGTTTCGCTCCTTCCGCGCTAGAGCGGCGGCTTGTTTACTGAGCAACCATCCCAAAACAACACCCTTTGACTTATCACGAACCACGAAAAACGCTTATTGCAGCCCGAAATACATCGAACACCACAACAAATACAGCCGCGAACCTTTTCCAAGATGACTACCTTCGAGCCCTCACTTAGCAGCTCGATGCGCGCTACCTCACATGACGTGCCCTCTTTGGCGGACCAGCTGCCCAGTATCAACTTCGGTTTCGACGATTTGCGCAGTCGCATGAACCAGTTCACGACACGATTCGATGCCTTCATCGAGAATGGGAGAAGACGAGTCTTGGAGGAGAGGAATCAGTTCCGCATGAACGTCGCAGAGCTGCATGGTGCGTCTTGCGCACAATACACTGCTCGAGATAGCCAATACTAACAATTTGTGCAGAGGATCAACGCATGAAGAAGCGCGACATCGAAATTCTGGACCTCAAGCAAACCCAGCACGGCCAGAACCTCGCCAAAGAATCGCAAGAGAAGGCTGAGATGAAGGAAGCAATCAGCACCCTTACACAACAGCGCGATGAACGCCTCGCCCACCGCGATAACCTCCGCTCTCAAATTAACGAGATCCAAAAAACTATCTCTGCGCGCCGAGAAGCACAACTGAAGCACCGCCGCTACCTCGACGGTCAGTCGCGATACAACGAGCCTGAGCTCGACTTCTGGGAGAGCTACCTTGGGCTGAGGATCGAAGGGTTGGGCAAGGACGACCGGCTGAAGTTTGTATACACGAATGTTGACGAGCGTGAATGGGATCGTGAAGCATGGTTTGAGCTCGACACATCAGAGCGCGATTACAAAGTACTGGAGATCCGGCCCAAGGCGGAGCGCGAGGAAGTCGAACGGGTGGTAGAGCGTCTGAACGAGACGCGCGATTTAGCCGGCTTTTTGAAGGGCATGCGCGAGCTGTTTGTGGAGGCGTGTAAATAGGCGGACGGTAACGACTTGGATATAATGCGGCGTTTGGGACTCTTTGGATAGCTTCGATCAATACCCCGTTGTCTTGCACATCTCGCATACCTGCGCATTTTGTATCGAACTTCATCGTCGCTCATTCTTGAACTTGTAGTACTCAGGCGCGTACTCTGTGAGCCAGTCCATATCCACTGTCGACAAGTCACGGATGTAGATTTTGTCTCTCGTCGACATTATCTCCGTGTAGATGACCCAATCCGCCTTGCGATGGAAGAAGACAGAACTAGGATGTGCCCACAATGTCGTCTTCCCATCCACAGTCGTGAAACTCCCATCACTCTTCATTCTCGCCACATGCGCGAAGAAGCCCGTTGCAAGACACCTCCGCACGCGCTCAGCCAACGGTTTGCCACCGACACGCATTACATCCGGTGCGCTCAGCACGCTCTCTTTGACCCCAAACCTGTCGAGGTAGGCAGCGAGCTGTTTCCGCACGCTGGCTGCCTTGACCATGGACTTGTGGTTGAGGCAATTCTCCCGACACCACTGCACATTCATCCCACCTTGCACAAACGCCGTGTACACATTATACAACGTAAGATGATCACCCTCTGACACCGCAAACCGCCGCCTCGCCTTCTCGAGCTGCGCTTTATTATCGTTGTGAGAGATGAATGCGTTTCCTTGCAACGTCATCATCGCGGCAATACTCAGCATCTCGCTCAGGCACCCCAACTCGGAAGTGGCAGCGTTGAGCAAGGTTTTGGCGAGCATAGGCTCAAGAGGGAGTTCGGCCATGCGTGTCCCCAGCGGTTTTGTGAGGCGTGCGTTGGTGTCGAGGGCGCCGAGGGAGTACAAGAAGTCGAGTGCGCGTGTGACGAGCGCGGAAGGCGGGGGTGAGAGGTAGTCGAACCGAACAAGGTTTGTGATGCCTAGGTTGAGGAGTTGAAGAAGTACGAGGGCAAGATTCGAGCGTTGGATCTCGGGGAACGTTGCTTCCTCTAGATTATTGAACGCGGCTTCGGTGTAGAGTCTGAAGCATTTGCCTGGTCGTGTGCGACCCGCGCGGCCGGAGCGCTGGGTTGCTGATGCGCGGGAGACGGGGACGACGTTGAGGTTTTCGATACCGCGGCGGGCGTCATAGGCGCGCAATTTAACGTAGCCGCTGTCGACGACGTAGACAATGCCTTCGATTGTTACGCTGGCTTCGGCGATATTGGTGCTGAGGATTACTTTGCGGGTGTTTGTGGGCGCTTTTTGGAAGACGAACATTTGCTCTTCTGTTGGAAGGCCAGCATATAGTGGGAGGGGCATGAGCTTCTGTTGTGTTGAAGGGAGGTCTGCGATTCGGTCGCTGAGCATGTCGATTGCGTCGTCGATCTCTTCTCTTCCTGTCAGGAAGACTAGTATGTCACCATCTGCTTCGTTCTTGTGGATATCCATGACCGTTTCAACAGCCCTGTCGATGTAGTTGTTGGTAGGCCCAGCCAGATACTGTACCTCCACTGGATGTGTCCGTCCCTGTATCCCTACAATCCTGCCGTACTCCTCCCTACTCTTTCCCCATACCTTCTCGCCCTCATCTGGATTGTAGAAATCCAGAAACCGTTCAGCTTCCAACGTCGCACTACTGACCACAACTCTTAAGTCCTCTCTCTTCCTCAACACCTTCTTCAGCAGACTCAGCAGCACATCACTACTCAAACTCCTTTCGTGCGCCTCATCAACCATGATGACCGAATATCGCTTCAACAGCGGATCAACTAACATCTCCCGCAACAACAACCCATCAGTAACGAACTTTATCTGTGTCGCCTCGCTCGTGACATCTTCAAAGCGAATCGAGTACCCGACTCTTTGACCTAAAGGTGTTCCTAGCTCTTTTGCGACGCGTGCAGCTACGCTTGTTGCTGCTATCCTGCGAGGTTGGGTAACGGCGATTTGGAATCCAGAGGCGCACCATCCAGCGTTGAGGAGGTACTGAGGGATCTGAGTTGTCTTGCCGCTGCCTGTCTCGCCGACTATGATGGTCACGGGGTGGGTTTCGATGGTGAAGAGGAGTTGGTCTTTTAATTGGGCTATTGGTAGGAGTGCGGGAGGCTTGTACAGATCTGGAATTATGGGACTGGTGTATTCTTCTTCCTCAGCCATGACGGGCGTTTTGATTTGACGAAGTCGGTGTTTGATGTTTGGGAGACGATGAATGGTCGTAAATTGGGAAGGGTAACCGTTAATAAGTGAAGCTAGCTGCTTATGGCTCTAGCGTCAAGCGCGATGTTAACGACCATGCCACGCATTGGGCTTTTTTGCATCACCATCGCATACAATGCTTGATCAGGGTACACACGATTCCTGATGATTGGTTGATCGGTTTGTAAGAGGAAGACTCGACGAACATGAATGACCGCAAGTCTTGCCTCAGCTTTTTCCTTGATGACATTATTCCGTGTCACAGACTCCCGAACATGCTGCCTTCCCGTACTGCCTCTATTCCTCATTCCCTTCCAATGTCACCATCAGGCTTTCTGCAGTCACCATAAACAGCCACCACGGGGCTGAGGCTCACTTGAGATGGTGAGACGCATCTTCCTCAAGCTACGGGTTGTCTAAGGCTCCTCCTTGACATTTTGTTGAGCGAGACGCTCCCTGAGAGGGCGGCGTCGCTTGCCTGGAAGATTGTCAGCCTAATTTCCTACACCCTGGACCATACATACTAGGTTGCGCGGCCGCGGCAGCCTCGGCTTCTATCTGCAGCTGTTCCAGAGCCTGCAAGATCTCCAGCTGAATTCCTCAACCGTCCTCGATACGCCGCTGATGAGGTGTGAAATCGTCTGTAACAATATCTACCAACATGTCGAACAGTAGCGCATCTTGAAAGTGGACATGGTGGGTACCCTTGTCTGCTGTTTCCTATGTAAGAAGTCAGCTTGGCCGACATCTTTGAGCTCGAGTAACCTCACCTGATGGAACACGGTGGATAGCATATGCGGCAATGTTCCAATTGTGCTTGCAATAGCTGACAGATCGGATCGCTCACAAGTAACGAACCCGACAGCGTACGTGGTGACGACTTTACTGGAAGGCTTGCAGACCGTGACGCACCACTGCAGCCTGTTCGGTTCGGTGTAGACCTCACGGATCCAAAAGCCAGTCTCGCCATCCTTGAGAGCGGGCAGTGTGGCGGCTGGTCCAACGGACACAACAGCTCTTGGTGCCCTCACGGAAAGATACAGATGGGAGAGCTTAGTCCAGTCTGTCGTGCTGTATTTGGCGCCAGTGTACATTCGTATAATCAGGTCGCTCTCAATTTCGCATTCCTTTCCATTGCTGAGCTTGATCATAGTAGGAGCTGTGCTCTGTATCTTGGTGACGATATCGGCCATCTTGGTCATCTGCCGCTCCTGCAGCTTTTGTTCAGGCGTTTTGTCGACCTTCGAAGGCATTCTTGCGGTCTGGCATGGGTTAGCAATCAGCTTCAATGGGCTCTCTGCGGTCGATTACTTACTGGTAATGGATGGTATGTCGCTGTGAAAGGCTTAGGTGGTACTCACGAGTGCGCCGCGTAGAGTTGTTGACAGGGTCGAGATAAGTATTGAAATCAAGGGATGTGCGCAATTTGGCCATCTCAGCCTTTTACTCTCACCTCAAGGTTACCCCACCTTGTCTTCCGCGCGGATATTGCAACAGCTACGCGCCTTTACATTGACATAGTTGTCACGACCATCATTCAACTCAAGTCTTACCACACTCTCACCGACCATGGCTACGCCACCACGTAAAAAAACCCGGTCAACGCATTGATCTGGCGCCGCCAGCTTCCGATCCGAAGGCCCTCAAGCTTGATGATGTCGTCACCTATGCCAACGAAAATGTCCTGGAAAACTTTGCTTTGCTTCCGCACCCTGACCAAGTTCACTTCGCAGACCAGCTGGTGGACAAGGGTAGCAGCAAGATGCGTCTGGGCGTGGGCTATGGCAAGCTCAGTGATAAGCTTATTCCTGTGTGGGCGCATACGACTGCGCCTTGCCATATCGAATCTCGGTACAGCATCAACACCACGGTCAGCCGCGAGCAGCGCGGCAACCTCAAGATGTTTGCGCCATTCTCCCACGTCGGAAAGAAGACAAGGCTCAAGCCTTTTGTTCTGCACTCTCATTGAGTATTGCTTCATGGAAGCTGGGCATTGGGATATCTTTGTAAATGGTAAGGGAAACAACATATCTTTGAGAGATCTGGGGAAAGCGTGTCAAGAGATTGAGGATGCAGTTTTGTGGCTTTCGGGTGCAGCTGTCTTGGACACGAAGTCAGATGAACCTCTTGTGAAACCAGAGGAGGGAAACCCACGCTCCAGGCAGTCATCTCCGTTGAAGAGGAAGCTAGAGGAGGATCCTAGTCCGTTACCAGAATGTAGGCATGAAAGACCTATGTGAGGTGAATGCAGCATCTGACCATCTATTTGTAGACTTCAAACGGCAACTCACTGCGCCGGTTGAACCCTGCCCCACCTTGGGTGAGGAATGCAAGATTGAAAAGAGTGACCTCAAGGTTGCATATGTTGAGCTTCTCGATAGGTCGCGCCGGGCTGAAGAAGACAACATTACGAAAGATGTACACATTGCGCATCTTGAGGCGAAGTTGAAGTTGTTCGAAGTTGAGAGTAACGCAAAGGAGGCGCACTTGGCAATTGTGCTGGAGGTCATCACACCCCTCGTCAAGCATGCTAAATCGTTCAGAAAAGTAGCGACTGACTCCTTCTCAAAGATCTATACGAATAGCGACATGAATGCCACGGGGAGAGCCGCAAGATGGGAGGCAAGGATTTTGACACTGCATTGGCACATTTTGAAGCCAATTTCCGTAGTGTGGAATGAGCAGGAGTACTGTATGGATGTTCTGTAGCTATAAGAATGGTGAATAGTGACAGACTGTTACTCATCCGCAAGTGTAGCTAACATATAAAACTGCTAGATATTGGTAGACACGCACGAAAAGATTTGTGGTCGTTACAATGCGATGTTACTGCTATGATAAATCAGTGATTACTATGTTGCGAGTTGAAAGTCTGATCTACAGATATTTTAAGTTTGAGGTTGGCTCACTCGAGGATGCAGCACGTGGAAGGAGACGAATGTGATATTGAGACGGCGGTTAGATCTTTTAATTATACTTGGGTAGGGAGCTTCAAAGTGCGGAGCTTTCTATCCAACACTCTGTGGTGACGATACAGGACGGTAACCTATATCTGGAAGACTGGAAAGAATACTCACACTTGCGACAAGCTCGCTAGCACCTGGTCAGTCCATTACACCAATTCGCTTAGCGACGGCGGTCATACTAAGCAGCCTGTTGATGACGACGCGAGTTCTGCCACTCCTCCGTATCAGTAGAGCAGGACCGCTTACCCAGCGGCTTAACACAGTACGCATGCAGACAGGGATCACCGTTCGCCTTATGCTGCTGACAAACACTATGGTTGACGTTCGGTGTCGGGCTGCCGCATTGGCAGCAGAGCCATTCACGAGGTGCGAGTTCGTGAGGGGTAGAGGCTTGAGGATGACCACGTGGTGGAGCCCAGTATTGCTTCTTGCCGCCCTTGTCGTTGCCGTGGGTCTCGTAGAAAGGAGAATCGCGGGGTGGGCCGGGGTAGGAGCGGTCGGGATTGCGGTCGTTGCGCTTTGATGACATTGCGTAGTGGATGGAGTGCCGTTTGTGATTTCGAAGTTGGTCTATATGGTTGTGTGTAAGGTCTGTTGAGTATGGGAAGATGAGAGCGTTGGAATCACAGCTGCACCTTTGTAGTCGTGAAGACTGAGCAGAGAAAATACATTGTTGAGGTTTCAGGGAGATGCGCCAATATATCTTTCGTAGTGTTCCCCATTGAAGCCTCACGATGAGTTGTGGCGTGCGAACACATCAAACTGGTCAAAGCACACAGTGGCCGCACTCACAAAGGTGAGACGTGACCACGTCGTAGATTTGCATTCAGTCCCTGCACGCTTACGCTTAAGAAAGCATTGTGCCCTTCGATTCCAGCTTCTGACACAGTGACTACATTGTTGCGGCCACGGCAGTAATCAGTCTCCAATCCGGAAGTCGTGACTTGACACCTTCCTCCCGTGGCTCTTGCTTGGTCTTGCACCGTCATAACAGAGAAGGCGCGCTAACTGAGAGTCTCTCCAAATTCCTTTGTGTCATGCTCCTCCTTTCGACCTTTGTCCATTCACTTACTCTTAACAGCTTTACCAGCATACCCACATCCGCTACGGTATTTTCACATCTACAATGTCACACTCAAACAACGGTAGCGCCCCCAATGGCAACTTCAAGCACGGCATCATCCCCAGAGCCAATTCTGCTCAATGCAGCATCGCCAGCGCTGCATCGCAAGTGGTCATAGGAGACCCTCGCGCACGACTTCCAAGACCCGCATGGGATCGACACTCCAGAGAGCGTCGTCCCACAGCCAAACAAAACGAACGTCGTGGGCTTACTGGCAATGGCAATTCCGTCGATAGTGGCAGCTTCGATCAGCATATCGACTTAGATAGGGCTGTTAGACCAAACGACGACGCCAGCTTCGACAGTGGTTATTCCAGTGATGAATAGGACCAACCACTGAATCCCACCCAATACAACAACGGGCCACACTCAACGATGGTCACAGACCCGCTGTTGACGACGAAATTCGAGAACAGTGGCTTCTCACACGGCGATCCCAATGACGTTGGAGAGAAGGATAAAGTCGATTCGTCGAAGCGGGAGTCGACAACAAGAAGAAGGGGTCACGAGTGTGGACGGACCGTACGGCACGGGTTCCACGCCGAGGTCATGCCAGAGTCCAGGGTCAAAACAAACGCAAAAGTGGGTAGAGAGCAAGGGAGTGCGACGATCGTTTTGACGGATCCTCAGGCGGACACCACTGGTTACTCGAGGATGGCAAGCTTCAAGGCGACAGGGCGGCTCTTCGGCGCATCCTGAACGAGGTTTTTGATTGTGTCTCGGATCATGTTGTACCACGCTTGTGATTGTGCTGCAGACATTACACAAACTTGACATGGCATGTACATTCGTTTCTCTATAACTGGTCCAGATGCTAGCAAACGTCAATAGCACTTATATACAACATGATCTTCATCTCAATCTCAACTCACACTCAAAGCTTCGCCTTGACTGGGGCAAAAGTGCTCCCTTGCGCACCTCCCAGCGCTCCAACAAGCTCGTCCGTCTTCTCCAGGACCCATGTGCATCCCTCATCACTCGCCAGCCACCGAATCGCCTCCTCTGACCCAGCAGCTGGCTCGTCCTTCCAACTCCCATCCTCCAGCGCCTTCCTCAATCCAAACACGTGACTCAAAACCTGCGGTCCTACACCCTGCTGTGCCCTCAGACATGTGATAGCAATCAAGCTCGTTGTGATCCGTCCCACACTCGCGCCAGTCGAGCGCTCGGGATCCGTGAAAAGACCGCCGTACTCATTGTTAATGATGAAAACGGGGAGGTCGGGGTGTGCTTCCCCCAGCTTGGCCTCAAGTTTCTCGTTTAGCGGGCGGTAGATCTTATCCCAGAGACCGCGCCCGCGCTGGTTGATCTGTTCGATGTTCGATGCGTCAGGGTAGCGCGTTGGCGTTGTGTTGAGTTTCGCGTAGACATCTTGCGGGAGCGAGGCGCGGAAGGCGTTCAGCATATTGATTGTTCGTGGGATCTGTTCTCTATTAGCCATTGCTCCTCATCCCTCTCTCCTCTCAGAGAGGTGATGGTAGGGGAGGCAACATACGCCATTGAACCCAATACACTTCAGCGCGACCTCACGCATAAACTCCGCTACCTGGACACTCTCATCCTGCGATTTCGATTGCGTGGTGCTGTGGAACAGGGCTTCCATTGACTCGGGCGAGTTCATGGTCATTGTTGCCGCGGTGCTGACGGCGAGCCATGAGGGGCGCCCGAGCTGGCGGCCTGTGGCTTCGCGTTCGATTTTCGAGAAGACGGATTGGATCTTGGGTGGTGCCGGAACGGGGCCGGGGCGCGCGTGCGCGGCGTTTATGAGTTGTTTGAGCGCTGGGGAGAGCTTCGACATGGTAGGCTAGTGCGGTGGGAGCTATCCAAGGCTGTATGTAGATGCACGCAAGATGATGGAAAGGTGAGGACGGCTGCAATTGAGAGTTCTGGTGAATTTCGGCGCCCGGCAATGTATATGGAGAGCGATTGTTGCAACGGGCGCACATCAATTGACGAAAGTCGTGAAAGTCGTACGACGCCAGATGCACGCGCCGGCTTCTGAGGTGCCTCGGAGTTCAGATCTGGCAGCGAAGTCCGCAGCTTCTCCTTCGGACCTCCATCCTTACAACTGGCACTGTCTCCATCAATGAACACCCCACCTCGATGTTCGCGATGATGGACATGCGCACATATGAAGGCATTGAGGAGAAAACTCAGAGACTCGCTGCAGACCAAGAGCGCTCCCGAGAACGCTTTCTACTACCGCTACCATGTTCATCATCAACTTCCACCTGGGCATATATCATGTCATTAGAGTCCAGGCATAGAGGAAGCTCTGGAATGTATATCTGTTGCAAGTGGAAAGAGTAGGAAGATCTTGCCTCCAGCGATGTGCTCCAAGACCGCTCCGAAATAGTATGCATGCCTTTTTAGAAGAACCGATTTGCCAACGACGATATGTCCACCAGATCGCGCCAAAACAGCATGGTCTGTTGCATTCACCCTCGAAGGCTCTTGCCTTCTCGTATGACGGGTGATGGCCCTAGGCAACTCTCAATATGAGCACTTTACGACTGGGGCTTTAAAGGACACGATTCTCACATCAGAATCATCGATACATAGGCTGCATATCGATGGAAGAAGCGCATACGCGCACTGGATGGATTGTCAGCCGTTCTTCGTCCTTCTTCTAATTCAGCTGCGCGATGCATGGACGACATGGTTTCCATCCAGCTTTGGTCCGAGGCTGGTTCGAGATAACTAGCTACGCTCGCGACTGCATCGAGGATACAGCAGATAAAGTTCCTCTGGGTGGACGTCCGCTGTATTGATGCTAAGGAGCGCTGCATTCTGCAGCGGGGTAGGTGTTCTATGAAGTAAGCGAGCTAGTCCGCTTTGGGCAGGTAGGGTGAAAGACAAAGCACACACTGTACCCTCAGGTCATTTTGCAGCTTGTAGTGATGTCTGGATATCTGTAACAAGCTCGACTTAGAGCATTGTCCCGTCTGAAAGGTAGGCTTGAAGGCAGCTATACTTAAACAATCGCAAATGCCCGTAGTGGAATCAAGCAACTGTCGACCAGTGCTTGTATGGTTGACAGGCGCAATGGTAATTGCCATCACGTGCGAGCTAGCCTCTTACCTCTGTCCGCTGGTCTTACTCGATCCTGACTCGTCCTTGACCTTTGCTTATCATCGCACGGCGTCTGGCTTGTTTCAACACTTAGCAATGTACCCAAGGAAAATTTTCGATGCCTAAACTCGGACATTCTCCACGAATTGCACTGAGTCCGCACTGCACATCGGTACAATTATGGGTTCACTTTTATGTAGGTATGCCGCGTCCACTCCAGCCTCATCTCGAAAATCCCGCAACTAACCACTTGCAGGCTGATCGCCACCAATGAGCCATTTTCACGTGGTGTCCACCATGGCATGCAACGAGATAGTCTAACATGGAATTACAAAAGACGTTGACACGATGCGACGCCGTCAACGTGGTAGAGATAAGGCGATCGTGCTCTTAAGATGGTTAACTGCGCGATTTATCAGACACCCTTGCGTCCACTGTCCAGCTCACCGGAACTGTCATGGAACCTTCCATACAATTTGCAGAGCAAGCCTCGCCGTCTGCCAGAAACCACGCATCGTCACACGATGCTGTTGGCGGAGTGGTGCGTCTGAGGTCTCGTACGCAATCGCAAAGCCACAAGAGATCGATAGATCTCACAAAGACTGGCGAATACGATGACGCTGAAGACGAAGATGCTGGCTTACGAAACGAAGCCGACTACAAGCGTAGTCAGGTGAGTGCTACACAGGTGAATGTTTCGCGTGGGTTGCTCACAGGCTGACCATGTGACTACAGTCCTTCAGTATAGGTCAAATTGTCGCGCTCGCGTACCAATCCATCGGTGTAATTTATGGTGACATTGGCACCTCACCCCTATACGTGTTTTCTTCTACGTTCACAGAGGCTCCGACCCATGCTGATCTGCTGGGAGCACTATCGCTTGTCTTGTGGTCAATTACTTTGATGGTAACGGTCAAATACGTCCTCATCGTTCTGCGTGCCGACAATGATGGTGAGGGTGGCACCTTCAGTACATATTCGCTGCTGTCGAGATACGTCAGTATACTTGCAAGTCTCAATGGAAGGTGTTTGAATGCTGACAATCTTTAGGCGAATATCTCCAACCGAGATCCACGGGAGGAGTCGCTCGTCCGTACGTTAGTCTGCGTCTGAGCCTACCGCCTATACTGACTGTCGCAGGCATGCAAAGGCATGACACCAACGATCTGGGCCGCTCCACCAAAAACATTCGATCCGGTATCGAGAACTCTAGGTTCTTTCGCGGTCTTCTCAAAATAATCGGAGTACTCTCGGTCTCTATGGTCATGGCTGACGGAGTCTTGACCCCTGCTCAGTCTGTGCTAGGCGCTGTACAAGGACTGAGCGTGGTCAAATCAGACATCGACAAATCGACCATCATCGGCGTCACCTGTGCGATTCTGATCTTATTATTTGTAGTACAGCCGCTGGGTATATCGAAGCTCACCATAATCTTCTCGCCTATTGTCATGGTGTGGTTGCTACTAAATGCCGGCTTTGGAGTGTACAATCTTGCCAGGTAGAACCGCTACTCTCTCCGTATGGTCTCCGCTGATGATGCAGGTACGACTATACGATATTGAAAGCTTTCAATCCGCACTATGCTTTCGAATACTTGATACGCAACAAATACCACGGCTGGAGGAGCTTGGGCGGTATACTTCTTGCGTTCACTGGGGTCGAAGCCCTCTTCGCCGACATTGGTGCTTTCAGCCGCCATGCGATTCAACTTAGCTGGCTGAGCTACGCCTATCCTTGTCTCTTGCTCGCGTACAGTGGCCAAGCTGCATATATCAGCGAACACCCAGACGCCTACTCGAATCCCTTCTTCAAGTGTGCTCCGCAGGGATGGCTGATTTTCTCGCTGGTCGTGGCCGTGGCTGCGGCTATCGTGGCTTCACAGGCTATGATAACAGCGACGTTTCAGGTGACTTCAACTTGCGAATGCGTACAAAATGCCCACTAACGCTCTAAAGCTGCTCACTCAGATTATGAAGCTCTCATACTTTCCGCAGATTAGAGTGGTCCATACATCGACAACGTATCATGGACAACTGTATGTACCAGCTGTCAACTGGCTACTAATGGTAGGGACTGTGTTGGTCGCTGCCATTTACAATAACACCACGTCCCTTGGTAACGCGTATGGCGTGTGCGTCATGTTCGTCACCTTCTTCGACACATGTATGGTAACGCTTGTGGCGATGCTGGTGTGGCGTATCAAACCATACTTTATCCTCCTACCCGCACTGCTATTCGCCTCACTGGATGGGGCGTACTTATCATCTGCACTTACAAAAGTGCCGGATGGCGCATGGTTCACAATCCTTCTAGCTACACTGCTTGCCTCCATCTTCATACTTTGGAGATTCGGCAAGGAGAAGCAGTGGTACGCAGAGGCCAGCGATCGGTTCCCAACGACTCACTTCGTCAGGACGCGTTCTGACGGGCAACTACAGCTCACTGAACGGTTCGGCGATGAACTTGTCGGCTCCATGCAAGGCTTTGGTATCTTCTTCGACAAGGCTGGTGAAACGACCCCTATCGTGTTCAACCAGTTTATCCGCAAGCTCGTCGCAGCGCCAACAGTCATAGTATTCTTCCACCTCCGACCGCTGGACCAGCCCTTCGTCGAGCCAGAGGATCGTTACAGCGTGTCGCGGCTTGCGATACCCAACTGTTACCGTCTCGTGGTGCGACATGGGTACATGGATGAGGTCATTACACCCAACCTTGCGTCCCTTATCTTCGAGAAGGTGCGCGACCATATTGTGGCGCGCGCACTAGATCGCGAGGGGGAGAAAGGTGCCGCTGCCTCCGCCAGCGGTGTTGAGGGCTCCGAGCGAGACAATGCTTCATCTCGCAACTCTACAACCTCGTCTCGTCTCGAAGCGCTGGAACGCGCCTACCATCACAAAGTGCTCTATATCACCGGCAAGGAACAGATGAAGATCAGCTCGGGAACGAACGTCCTGCGCCGGTTCTTCCTGCACATCTTCCTTTTCATTCGTGAGAACACCCGGACGAAGATTGCAAGCCTGGACATTCCGATGGACAAGGTTATCGAGGTGGGATTTGTGAAGGATATTTGATACGCAGAGCAAAAATGTGCATTATCGCCTCGATCGAGCTTGGGTGTCATTGTTGATCTACACTTGATTTTACAGTGAGTGGACAGAAGTCTGTTCGCGCTAAAAGCTTGGGCCGCAATCTTGACTTTTGAGTGAATATTCACACCTCAATATCTCAATAACCACA